TTTTCCACCCTGCAATATATTTCATTAAGCTTTTAACTCTTTGCAAAGGTAATTCATTTGACATTTTAAGGCTGTAATGTTGAATGCCACTAAGTTTTTTCTCTCTATGCAATTTCAAATCAGAACGATATTTGCCAAATACTGTCTGAAAAACATTTTTCCTCGATAAAAACGCACATTCAAAAGAGATTGATGAAATGGTGTAACATCCAACCAACAAAGCTGAGCAGCTGGCACATTATTTCATGGTTACAGCCATGTGGGTCCCAGTGGCACAGATATAATTAAGACCTCTTCTTAATTACTTAATAAGCCTAATTAGTAACATTTCTGAGCAGAAGATTTGGCTGTGCGATGAAATCAGAAGAATGTTAAGTCTATTTGTTATTTCATTTAAATCCTTCATGTTAATGAAATTAGAGCTTCATGATATAACAGAAACAAACCACGCTGGGATTGACCAAAGGGCTAATGAGGTTTTCCATGCTCCTGATAAACATTCAATTAAGTGCTACAAAAAAATATGACACAACATCATAGAAAATAGAAGTAAACATAGCGTTTGTCGGCTGTGTCTATGTTACCTTCATCAAGTGTTTATTCTAACTCAGCCATTTTATCATTAGCCCATGGCCAGATGTGTTGTATAAGTATAAAACTGACCGGGGGTCTGCTGTGTTGTTGTTGGGATTACTAAGGCAAGCCCACCAATCACACACTGGAGCTGCTACTGCATTCCTCGCCACTTAATTAGAAGTTGTTGGTACCACAGAAGGTGTCACCAACCTTTTCAGGCGCTGAACAGATGGTGTCCCCTCTTTTTGAGGTCCTGCCAATGCCCACTCTGTGGCTCCTGGGAAAATGACCTAACTCACAGGCAGCTGCTTAGTGCGGCTTGAGTGATTCTTTACAGCCACTTCTACTGGGGGGACTTAGCAGGACGTACCATTGCAAACAAGAGGTGAGAGCGCAGTAGCTAGGTCCCTGGAAAGCTGCAAAATTGTGTTTTGGTTGCAGCATACCAGTTGTTAAAAACTTTGTCTTTAAAGCTATGTGCTAAGATGAGCCATGATCTCGACCCTGGAGAGCTTGATGTCTCAGTGCAAGTTGGGTTTGTGTGCACTTTCCACTGCTGCTGGCAGATGGTGTGAATATCAACAGAGAAAGGACCTGGGAAGGCCCGCAGAACAAAAAGTGAAAAGGGTTCCTTGACAGTTACAAAGAGGCCCCATGAAGAGGTGGGGGGGAGGCGGCCTTCGTCCTAATGGATAAAAAAAGGAGGGTGTAAGACTTTGCAAGGGCATTTGCTATCAAGGACTGAAAGTAGAAGGAGAAAATGCAAAACTAGGACTCGATATGTGCAGAGGCGGGGGGCCGGGGTTTAACATGCTTCGTGCTGCGTGGACAGAAGATCGGCTGTCACTCTGTAGTTGGCTTGGCTCAACCTCCCTCCGACCACGCAGGAGGTGGAGAAGAACAAGTTGAAAATTTGATGACTGTGTTTTCTGACTAATGGTTTGATGTGTTTTAAAAAATTGTTTTTTTTTCACCAAGACATTTTTTTTTTAACCATTTTTGCCTTTTTCCAAAAATGTTGAAACTTCTGATGGCCTAGCTATAAGGCCCCATGTACAGAGGGTATAGTCTCCCAAGCCGCAGCCAGGGTTCAAGTCTGGCCTGTGGCTCCTTTCTTGCATGTAATTCCCTGCTATCTTTCCTAGCCCATCCACTGTCCTATCTAAATAAACTAGCCCTTGTTGAATTCAGTTGTGTGTCAGTCTTTTGGTTTCCTGCTACTGATGATGAGACGGCTTAAAGGCCAGAGAGTCTTCTCAGAAAGCGACTCAGCTCAGCAGTGATGTTTCATTGACATGGCAGGGGACATAAAATCTGCCATTTCCATCATGTTCTATCGTGGGTAAACCTGTTTCCTGCAGCTTTCTCTATCAGATATATGTCTGTGTGGGTTTATGGCCATGGAACTAGGGCAGGCCCGATCGATCTGAGGGAGCTGTAGGATTTAATAGGTGCACAGCTCAGGCTATAAAGAGTATGGGTTGGGGAGGGTATATTTAATCACTTAAAGGGAGCAGGGTGGCAGCCTGGGTCACCAACAGTTTCTGTTTTATGAGCAGTCAAGGTATCAATTTGTCCCCCCCATGGTGAAATATGTTTTTCTTACACCTGCTGATTCTTTGTTGCCTAATCAAAATCTTAAACATGTAATTGACACTGATGTCTGTGCACGTGTGCTGTTTGTACTTGAAAAAAATATATATAAATATTCTGGAAGGATTCGTGACACTGAATCTTGAACGTAATTTGATTTAAGTGAAAAAAATGAAATAGAACTTTTTAAGCAATGTAAGTCGACATAGTATAATTTCCCAATAAATACTTTATTTCAATGTGTTAGTCGTTGATCTGATACGCATGACTAAATATAATTAATGTAGTGATAATTATTGTTAAAATGATAATAATAATAAGAAAGTATTTATTGGTGTTGGTCTGCCAATCTGACATTGAGTAGGGCTCCATTGAATAAAGGTTTGTATTATTACAATAAAATTATATATTATATTAATATTATAATATTATAATATTATATTATTGTCGACGGATTCATGATATAAACCAACAATAAATGATTCTTATTAAGAGATGTCCATTGATTGATTGATTGAACTCTATCTATCTATCTATCTATCGCTGCTTCATCACAGCAGCTCCATTTACAACAAAAAGATACAAACATATGAGACAACATTTCAAACATCAAACAAGTGTTCAGAATAACTTGTGATCTGGGATATGCTCCACATTCGATTAGAATTGATTGATGTCCAAAGAGTGCTTCAGACAGTCATCTATGTTTCTTTAATTTGACAAATCGTATCCCACTATGCAACATAATTCCATTGTTTAAAAAAGAAAGTTGAGTCCAGGATGTCATGTTCTCTTATTACCATGAACGTGCACACCGGGTCAGTCCACACATACACCGTCCTGGTGCACTTAGTACTCACTGGCACTCAACATTTTAATTAGTTCTCTGCTGAAAATTGTCCCCATCAAATTCACATCATACTCTTCTTTCAGTTGTGTTAGCTAATGACAAGACCAGTGGAAACAGAGCAATGGGCTCAGATGCAAGACTCCAAACAGGAGCAGGTCAAATATTCAAAGTGTTCAATCAGTCTAAGTCAGAACAAAAAATCCACAAAACTATCGAATCCAAAGTAGCAGGCAAAAGGCAAAGTCAAAAAACAGGGTATGGTCGAAAACTCAAGAAGCAAAGACTTAAACGAGGTAACACAGATGAATACACATGAGGGAGGACACAGGGATTTAGTATCTCAGATTAATATATGATATATACAGTGCTCAATAATGTTTAAATAGGATTACTTAGTAAGGCAAGAATTTCTACTCGATCTAGTAGAGATGGATTTCTGGCATCACGTTTTGTTGTCAGTCCTAAACCTCAACCGTCTAATCAAATGCCCAAAGTAAGTTCAAGCTTGTATTGTTTTGTTTTAGTGACAACATAGTAAAGTTCAAGAAACAACACATAACATATGTTTAGATGCACCCTTAAATATGTATCGGGAGCATTCAGTATCACAAATCAGACTTCAAACACACATTGATTACTGAATCAAACACTTCTACTTCCAATCTAGTGGCATAAGCAAAGTTGGAACTTGTGGACAAAATAATTTGTTTGGTTTCTCTTGGTCATTGTCACGATCCATGTTGGTCAATACCTCAGCAGTCACCAGTCCGCTCTTCTGCATTCAGCACTTGTCAGCAGTGTTTTTGCTCCAACTCTTCACAGCTTTCACAAACTCTGGGAATGACCTTGAACTTCGGCAGCTCACCTCAAACCCACAAACTCGTCCTAATGCTATTATGCTGGGCCCTACATGCTAAAAGTCATTGGTGGTGATAGTGGCTGATTAGATTGTGTCCATTGATCGCGCGGCGTGCTGTTAGGACGAGGACGGCGTGGACTGCAGCTCCCGCCTCTCCTCCTCAGACACACTGACAGTCTGAGACAGAGGAGATGGAGCCCCATGCAGGGCGACTGATTGAGTTATTGATCATCTCTCTCCTTTCTCCTGTCTCTGTCTCTCCTTCTGCTACGCGGAGAAACCCCGTCATCAGGATAATGAATTTCACTTATTGCTGATTAACCGCATAAGGTCTGTATGGAAATAATGGCAGGAATTAGCTCTTTGTCACCCCCTCTGAGTCTCCAGGAGGAGGGGTTGGAGAGAACGAAGGTTGTTACGGATCTGTTAGTCATTCTTAGGACTGTGATTTTAACAAGAGGGAACTGAAAGAGATAGAGAGTGCATGAAAATGAAAGATTTAAAGTGGAATTAAGGAGAGACTCATGAGGACTGCGATTTCAACATCTCTGAAGTGTTAATGGAGAGTTCTGATGCAAGACATTCGGGATTGATGGAGGGGAGTGAAGTGGAATTTAGAGAGGAAAGAACAGTGAATAACAGGCTGCTTTGCGAAAAAGAGAGAGGGCAAAGAGGAAAGATGAGACGGAATGATTCAAAAGAGATGAAGAAGACGTCAAAGCAGGAGCTGTACAGTGAAGAAGAGAGTAAGACAGGTAGTGGTCGTACAGTCACCAGGCAGCGACGCTGCTTAAGGGTCTGCAATTGTGTCTCCAGCATCCAGATTGGGGTGGTAAAGAATGAATAATGAGGCTTGATTACAGTCCATGAGATGACACATTGTTCAGGCAGTACAAACATCAGCCCTCAGCCCGGACAGAGTGGGGAGCTATTGTGTCAAAGGACAACATCGTCTTGGTCAATGACTTGTTGGAGCCTCATGCCGGAGCCATTAGCAGTTACTCTGCTTACATTCAGCCACCTACGTGAACGCCTCCAGTGCACCTGTATGAAAGCATATATACACAAACACACACGTTCTACTGTATATATAATGGAGTGCATGTTGTCTACTTGTTCCAGGTTTGGCTTTGGATTGTTGGATGCAGGACTGATGGTGCAGCAGGCCGCGCACTTCAGCACTGTTGCTCCACAGAGGATATGCACACAAAACACCCCGCTCCATCCTAACAGGTTCAAAAGTATTTACTACTACGCAAAATACAGTCATGTGCACCCTTTTTCTTTTTTTGTATTTTTACCTTAGATTTTTTCCTTAAAATATATTAGAATGAAAATGTGTTTTTTCTTATTGTTTCATAATTCTTAAACTCTTCAGTCTTTCATCTTTTCTTGGTCTACGAGGTCAAGAGAAGTCAGAGGACTAGATAAAGCCCTATTCAAGCTCAAGTCCATTTACCATTGACCATTTTGTTTCATTGGGTAGAATACTTCATCCAAAAGGTGTGGTCACTGTGAACATCCAATCAGAGGCCTGCCATGGGAGGACTAATGAGATCAACACCCTGGAACATGTTCAGGTCAGACAGTTATTCTAATACACTGACTATAGATGGTATGAACATACTGTACATGTTGGCAAAACTTGGGATTTTTTGGGAACAACTTGGATGTTTATATTTTTTAATACTAAATGAACATCTTAAAGAATTGCTGATTATTTAAGAAATGCACTTACAGTATTTGCCAAGAGCTATAAAAAGTGTGCCATTACCTCTAACGCTCATTAGTTACACAACATATTTGAAATATCTATATATTTACATAAAAAATCTAATTAATATTAAATGGAGAAAAAAATAAAAAACACAATTTTCCAAAAAGTCGATTTTCTTAACACCCTGGGGAGGTGAACAAGGGTTTATTTTTCATCTATACGTTGAAAGGATCATTCTTATCTGCTGTCATTATACACATCAAGAGGAGAAATTGCTGAAAACTCCTATCTCCAACCTACGAAGCTTAAACATTTCTTACAAATAGTTTTTGAGGTTTCTGTGTCATGAGTTCCATCTGAAAACAGAGCAGATAAAAAGTGATCATCCTTTGATGTGTTCTGTCTTGGCTGTGTCATTTGCAGAAAATGGACAAAAGTGTGTTGTCTTTAGTACGGGCACATACATGCAAATGTGTCTTTGTGTGACTGTGTCAGCAGGCTGTGTACTGTATGTGTATGTCTCTGTATCACTGTTTGAGTGTGTGTGTGAGAGTGTGTTTGTGTACTTGTGAAATAGCAAGAAGAGAGAGAGAGAGAGAGAGAGCTGGAGTGTGTCAGCATGTAAATTGAAAAGGCTTCATCTTTGCGTCTCTACTCCCTGGCAGAAAGCGTGGGTCAGGCCATCGCTGCGAGGTGTGATTGATGGACGTGTTGCCGTGGTAACACGCTGTAAACAGGAGCGGGCTGTCAGTCTTTTTGCAGCTTGGCGGCTATCTCTGCGACGTGCCATTGTCACACCAGATGTGCTGCTTGCGATGAACAGGGACAGGGAAAGTGTTTACTGAGGGGGGGGGGATCATAGAGATGGGGGCTGGGGGTCCATGTGCTTATTTATATCATTTAGCTAATATACCCTCAAGCTATTTTTTGTCACTGAGTCCTCTCTCTTACTTTTTGTTGTCTCCATCTTTGCCCATCTGTCTGACATGCAAAGAAGGCTTTCTCAGACGTTAAGAATTTGGGTTTTGATTCAAACATGAGGTAGTATTGTGATCAACAGTATAGTAACTAGTAAGAGTCATAACTACTATTGGAAAGTAATCGAGCAACTAACTGAATTACTGTATGATTAAAGTAAGTAGTTGTTTAGGAGAATATCTTCGGCATCACTTCTGTTTTGCTTCAATACTCATGAACAAATGTATATAACACTGGAGACACCATTAATATGTAGCTATTTTTATATTTAGTCCTTTGAAGGCAACAGACTGACAGTTGATATAAAGCTTAGACAACATAACGTTGCCATTAGTCTGTTTAGTTCTTCCTGGCTTACAGATTGTGGAGCTGGCGGTGATTTTTTATTTAACCTTTATTTGATTTAAAATCAAGCCTTGGTTGTTTGGAGGGAGTAGGTACTACTTGGTCTGCCGAGGTAACATGAGCGGAACCTGGGTCACTTGTGTTTGCAGCACTGGGCTGTCTGTCAACTAGTTAAGTAGATTTATATAGTTTAGTGAAGTGCTTCGTGAGATAATAATTATTGTTCTTGGCAGTGGACAAAGTTGTCCTTCCTGAGCAATGGCTACAACTCACTACTATATTTTTGTCCTTAAAATGGAGGAGGGGAAAAACATTGCTGGTATTTCCAAGTCAGAAAGCTCTCGCCTGAATGATTTTCTTTCTCCCAGGATGCTAATGTGATAATGTAATCGCAACCTCGACTATCAAATCCAATGTTAATAAACCTCAATTTTATATAGCTGCTGGCTAGTTCACATAAAGTAATAATTAGGAAGTCCTTTTACATTTCTGTAATTGTGACAGCGTTAATGAATTTGAAAAGTAACTAGTTACTTTCAGATTGGTAGAGCCGATCCCTAGCTCCTGCAGTCACATATCAATGTGTCCTGTACTGATATAAACTTTGCACTCTGTGTGTGAATGTGAGCTGTCGTGTAAAAAGTGCTTTTGGTAGTCAGAAGAGTAGAAAAGCGCTACACAAGTTCAAGTCCATTTACACTGCAAGTTACCGCAAACAGTTGTGGATTTACAAAGATGCAATACTAAGTAACACGTTTCTCACAATACTGGTCAGCACTGCTAACCGCCTTTTGCTTTTTCCAGAAGTTTTACAAGGGGTCTAATTATGCATCAAATCTATTTCTTTGGATATTCATTCTGATTACAGGGTGAAAAATGTTATACTGTATACTGATCAGAGCAAAACGTTTACAATAGTTGATCAACATTTTAGGAACTTGACATGTTCCACTTAGTTGACAGTAAGATGGAAAGCTTGATACCACTCTGTCTGTTTTTATTAAACTACACTCAACAATCCAAGTCTTTTTATTAGCAAGTTGAACTCAACTATTTGGACACTGGTCATCACCATAAGGTTATCAAACAACTAATGGAAACTCAATATCACAACACCTAAAGCCACCTACAGTCTTTATGCTAAGATCACTGACTCTGTGCACCGGTATGAGAGTACTAGCCTTTTTGTCAATATACTCTTGGAAATAAGATAAAGAGATGCATTCATCCCCCCAAAAAGTCCTTATTTCAGTTATTTTCTCACACTTCATAAACAGCCACTTGTTGTCATTCAGAAATACTGACTAAAAGAATAAACAGATAACATGTTCACACACTGCTTTGGGTCTGTCCACCCATTCCCTCTCCCTTTTGTTTTATCTATTCTTTATTCCTTTCCCTCCATCTCCTTATTTTGATCACTTAATTCATGTAGCACTTTTCTAAAACAAGTCACAAAGTGCTTTACAATTAAAACAAGCAAAAATAGTAAAAACAAATAATTAGGCAAATAAACACATATTTGAAAAAAACAACAGACACCCTTGCCCAATCAAAGGAGAAGCACCCAGTGTAGAAACCCCCCAATCCCCACCCCTTAAAGAAAAAGGGGGAAACAGAAGGGACAGTCTGCTAAGAAATGTTGTTGTTGTTGACCTACTGTATCCCTTTTTCTTTTTTTTTGTCTCTCAACAGGTTAGAGTGAGTATCAACAGCGTGTGCCGCGGTGACCTCTCTATAAGCCTGAAATCTCCAGCTGGTACTGTATCACTGCTGTTGGACACACGGCCCAATGACGCTTCCACTGCTGGCCTGACAAACTGGACCCTGATGACGGTGCACAGCTGGGGGGAGCATCCACAAGGCCTGTGGACCCTGGAGGTGATAGCAAACAAGGGATGCGTCTTTAAATGTGAAGTTTTTAGTTAACTTCAGCTGCACGCTAAAGTTTACAGCGGTTCACTTGATGGAATATGATGGAAATGGTAGCCATTTCATTTCATCAGGTTTGCATTGTCACTGCGCGCATGCTCTTGCTAGAATTTACCACAAACTGATGTGCAGTCTTGGTTCCTTTTTTTTTGGTTTCCTCTCATCTCTCAAGTGATAACATAGTCAACTAGCCTAAAATATAGAAAAAAATATCCCTGGCAAAGCCTGTATAATCATTTTTCATACTCTCCCAGACCAGAAAACCTTTTTTTTTAAATATAGCTTCTCATGATATATTGAAATCATTTTTTCCGCTTTACATTGTCCTCTTCCAGTACTGTAGCTGCAGTGTATAGAAGTTTAAAAATAGCCCAGTCCAGCACAGCTCAGCTTGGTTCAGTTCATTTTACCATAGCAATGTGAATCATCCTCCACTTTCATCTCCGAGTTTCAGCCATGCATGGCAATCTTCATTTTCCTCCCCGCACTCTTTTCCTTTTTTTTCCCTCTCATAGATGTGCTGATGTTTGATATGGAGGAAGGAGCTAAAATGGAAGGGAAATTAAGACTGGAAGGTTAAGTAACCTTGGCCAGGTTTGACAGACACAATACTGTCGACATCTGATTACAATCCATACTCACAGAATGTAGTGCGCTGAGGTCATTTTCTGTATATACGTGTGGGTGGAAGAAATAGACGTGTGTGTGTGTGTGTGTGTGTGTGTGTGTGTGTGTGTGTGTGTGGGGGGGGGGGGGCTGGGGGGACACACTCAGGCTGTGTGTGTGTGTGTGCATGTGTGCCAATAGGCATCAGTCCTTGTAAACAGTTGGAGGTTTATAGAGAAAAAGCTGTGAAGATGAAAGACACCCACCCCCTGTCCTCTATCACCTACCCTCTTCCTGCAAACACACACACACACACTCTCACACACACACACACACACACACACACACACACACACACACACACACACACACACACACACACACACACACACACACACACACACACACACACACACACACACACACACACAGTTTCTCTCTACCTCTCCGTCTCTGTGTCTCTCCCACGTCCTCGTGCAGATTACTGTCCCCTCTGTGACCAATTACCAAGGCCCAGTGTGTCGCAGAGACAGGGAGGAAACACGGTGAAGCCGAGCCACATAATGACGCGGCTGCTCATTACCGGAGGGCCGAGACGAGTCACCGCGATGCTCACAACACGAATTAACGCCTGCGTCTTTCGTGCCGCATACCTTTGCACGCCACTAATCAGGCGCACACTCACACAATGATTGGTTTTACGCTGGTTTGTCAACTTCACCACAGATTTGAGGGAAACATGAACACAGAAAGTGACAAATACAAGGCGATAGAAATGAGTGTGAAAACGCTTGAAGTCAAAGCAAGATAGAAAAGCGAGAAATGACAAAGAAACCTGCCTGACATCTGAATCAGAGACAGAAAAAAAGGTATCTGTTTTCTGAACTGTAATTATATATTTGATTGAATAAAATGGTTGTAAACCTAATGTCCCATTAAAATAACAAAGAAGGAATACCTAGCACAGCTATTTCAGCGTTTGTTTTTTCTGTCCTGATTGACATATAACATTCCCTCTTACGTCTATAATGCCATATTCATCTGGAAAAGATGCATGTAGAGAAACACATGTGGACTAAGGAGAGAAATAGGACACTCAGGACTGAGCGGAATAGCATACAGTGAGGGGTAAACTATAAAATGGAGGGCCTGGGAAGAGACTTTAAGAGGACTTTCTGTTGGATCAGTGTTTAAAAACTCAAGGGCAGCAGTGGAGGGGGTTGGGGGGGGGTGTCTGAAGAGAGTCTATATTGATTTGTCATGATGACAATTGTCAAAGAGCACTGTGGTGCTGCTGGAATAAAAGGGGGACTGAAGTGAAAAGGGAGCGAGTCTTATGGCTTGAGGCACGGCTGACCTTCCAGCGCTGTGAAGGAGACGAGACCGCAGGGCTGGAAATACTCTCTCTCTCCCCTGTGCTCACTCTACCGCCCTCTCTTGTACCTCTGCTCAGCTCAGTGCTTTTACTGTTTACAAGGGAATATGCTGAAGGTAGTATTGCACAATATAGTAAAAGCTTATTCTAGAAAACCAACGAACAGTTACAAATGTAATGGATTAAAACTAGACTGATATGATTAACTTAAGGATTGGAATCATTTAAATAAATCATCAATAATACTTAGCTAGATGTTATTTAGACATTGTGCATCTTTGATCTTTCCACCCCTTCTCTCTCTTTCAGTCCTAATGTTTTTTTTCACCAGGTTTTATGATTATTTCCGATCTTAAATGTTTCAAATGCTGCTTGTTGACTTTTACATTATTGGCATGCTGCTTTGTAAGCATTTACACTTGTCCACTGGTGTATCTGGGTTGCTGGGCAGGTACATAAAAACATTTTTTAAAAGTTGTTTCAGGATTTTTATGCCACTGTGTTTAACTTTTTCAATCTATTTTATTTAGAACAAAGGTAACTGAGTGTAGGTCGATCATGTGACAGCACCTACTGCATTGCTGAAACATGCTTCCAGCGTTTGACTAAACTACCGCATAGATTGTATTTGGAAGTATAAATAAGAATTTTGTCTTGACCCCAATTTATAGATTTCAGTCATGTGACTTGAGGCCTGGAGGGCAAAAGCTTAGGAAAGTGGTGGCCACCATGGAACACTGTGGAGCAGCAGCACAGGTCTCTTCAAAACAATGCACATTTACATCACCTGACAATCTCAGAAAAACTGAGATATTAAGATAATTCCATATTTCAATCATTCAAAACAGCAAAGTCCATGCCAGTACCACTTCTGTGATGTTTACATATATCCAGTGGAGAATCCCTTACACAGCTGCCCAGATGAAACCTACAAAAGTACAGACAGCTATAGGCCCATGTTTTTTCAATGTGGCTGGGTCATTAATGCTGCCGTTTGGAAAGTGATGGGCAAGAAATATGAGCGCTTATTAGCTACATTTGCTGATATACATTACCTAACAAGAGTATCCCCATCACTGTCAGTCTGGAGCAGTAATGTCAGTTAAAAGCTGTTAACACAATATTTTATGGATTCGGAGAAGTATGTTTTATTTGTTCCCTAACTGCAGAGCATTTAATAATATTAATCCACAATCTTTAAAAAAACAAAAAATCAAGCAGCAGCAGCACCGTTTTCTTGAATATTTGTCCCCATACTTTGCCTAATGTGCAGAGCAATCTTTACTTTCTGCAAAGATATTTTACTGTTTTTAATGTTCTATACATGTATGTGTATCTTACTGTTGCCAGCAAACAATGTATCAATTTGCCTCCTTTGTAGAGATGTCAAAGACAATTATCTCAAAAACAGTCAACATTATTAGATACCACTCGAAAAGAAACATGTCAATTCTATTATTAAGGTAAACGGACAATTCATGTAAGTATGTTTAATGAACTAGTAACTCAAGAAACAATAACTCTCCTTCCTACCCCACCTGACTCCCTGCTATCTTGTCCGTGTGTGTGTTTGTCTGTGCACTAAATACACTAAAGTGTATTACTGATGCAAAAAAGATGTACATTAGTCATTCATGGTCATTAAAATCTTACATCATACTCAAAGGAACCTATGCATTTTATACACTCTGAAAGATGATACTTACAATTTAAATCATTGAGATTACTGTATATTGTTTAACATTATTTCACACTGTCAGATAAGCTCAGTATAGCCTAGGGGTATAGCCACAGAGGTTTTAGTACTTATCGCAGCGGTCCTGGGTTTGATTCTGACCTCGGCCCATTTGCTGTGTCAACCCCCCACCCTCTCCTCCCACGATTTCCTGTCTCTCTTAAGCTGTCCTGTCCAGTAAATGAAAAAATGGCCCCAAATAATAAAAAATAAACAAAAGGAACAGTTTTATGTCTTTCTTGCTTCCATGTAAGTAATAATAATCCAAGTGAGGTAGAGCGGGCAACTTTCAGACCCAAATCTGTTGTTTTAATGGGGTACTGCCATTCTGGACATCCAAATGCAGTTTAATTATTTGTGGCAAGTGGCAAGACAATTTCTGATGTAATGTTATCGGGGGAAGTGTCCATTACTCATTGTAAACTATGGTAAAAAAATTAAAAATAGAAACTTACAGTTACTACTCAAACACAAGCACATCATCAAGTTTGGTAGACACTCTGACAAAGCCTTGGTAGTTGCTGCAGTAGAAACAAACTCACATACATATTTCCACCAATATGTGCTCTCAGACACACACACACACACACACACTCTCACTCACTCTGGCCCAAGGTGGATTTCTAGAGGTGCATACATTTGCATATATCTGCATGTTTAATGAGTTTTGGGAGATCAAGCGATCCGTGCGGCCCTTTGTGGGTATTTCTTTTGTGTGTGTTTGTGTGTGCGTATTTGTGTGTGTATGTTTGGGGGGATGGGGGGGATGGCAGGGCCGGGTCTCGCTGTAAATATCACCCACTGTGTGTTGGCACCCATCACAGATGGTCGGGGGCGAGGGCACCCTGTGGGCACAGGATACCTATTTCTGTTTGTGTCTGTGCTTTGTGTGAGACTGGGAGGCAGAGACGGTGTGACTCTGTGTGTGCACACTTCATTATGTGTGTGTTTGTGTGTGCGCGTGCATGTGTAGTTTGCACTGTAGGTGATTGTCGGTGTGTATAGTTTGCATTTAACACTGTTTTTGATGATGTTTGTATGTGTTGCAGAATGTTCATTCGTGTAATTGTGTGTGTGTGTGTGTGTGTGTGTGTGTGTGTGTGTGTGTGTGTGTGTGTGTGTGTGTGTGTGTGTGTGTGTGTGTGTGCGTGTGTGTGTGTGTGTGTCTGCACTGTGATACTGTATTTTTTCTGTTTTACCTGTGATAGTACGAGCATGTGTTTTGAGTTCACTTGTTATTTTTTCAGTGCGTGTCAACGATTTAATGTCTGTGCGTTCGTTCAACCCAGTGTGTGTTTGTTCAGTTGTTTGTCTCTAAGCGTGCTGCTGTGTGTGTGCCTGGTGTGTGTGTGTGTGTGTGTGTGTGTGTGTCTCCCAGCATGCACTGTGGCTGTGATGGCCCTGTTTTGGATGATTGATGTGTTGGAGGGAGCTGTGAGGAGCTCAGGTTGGGCCAGAGCCTCAGTCTGACACACTGCTGCTTCCCTGCTGCTTTACATATGTAGACACAGCAAGACTCCCCCCCACCCCCCACAACCCCACACCCCAACCCATCCCACCCTCATCTGACTCTGGCTCCCACTCCAACACAGCCAACACTCACAGGTTCCTTTTTTAGGGCTTTATTTTGAAGCTTGGTTTCTTCCATTACAGTTAACTGAATAGCGTTTATCCAGTAACTTTTTGTTCAAAAATGTTTTTATACTTTTTTATACTTTATACTTTCTTGACATTTACAAGTTTTGATGCTGTTTTTTCTTCTCTTTTTCAAAACGTAATAAATATGACTCTGTTCTTTGTGGATCGTCTCTTAGGTGGAGGGTTATGTTATAATTTTTTTTTTGCTAGTGATGGTGCCAGTTCTTTTTCATGCCCAGAGAAATTAAATTTAAGTGAAAACAAGAACAACTTTCTCAGTGGTGAGGTAGAAGTATCAACTTGTCAAACTAAAGCCTCTGTACACCCACACAGGTGTTAGTGGGACCATGGAACAAGTATGTTTGACTGACAACTCCACTACTCTGTTTTATTTTGAAGAAACAGTTTGGGAAGGAGGATTTGATGACCTGTATCATACATGTTAGGCCGTAGAATTTATTACATCATAAGTTCTCACAATAGCTCCACCTATTTACAACCTGTCATGGCCTAATCAGCCAGAGTAATTATAAACACCTGTGTTGGTTTGCAATGGCTTTAAAATATAACAGTTTATTTTGAAAGGAGGAAAAACATATAGGCTATAAAAGGCAATGAAGTATCAATTAATAATAATTTCCTTTCTGTAATTCAACTAACAGCTAAACCTCATGCATTGTTAGGTAGTCATTAGGCAAAATACACAACATTTATATTCTGTATATTTGTATAAGGCAAAAATGCTTCTATTGTCTGAGTCTATGTGCATGTGTTTCTATATCTTTCTTGTTTTCTCCTAGCTGCCAAAAAATGTTTACCTTGAGTACAAAAAGTTGAAGTTACCTGTAAAACGTTGTCACAGGGGAATGAACTCCCAGACAATAAAGGCCCCTCTTTCAGTGAAGATTTCGGCAAGGACAGCCAAACCGTGATTTAGTCATCCCATATTGTGTCTTACTTTTGTAGGGCATAAAAAAATCCTTTTTGGGAGTTTATCGAAGTAATCTGCAGGGGCTCCAGGTTAAAACAACACCATATGGGTTACACCTTTATAATCCTTTATAATGTTACATGCAGATTGTCTCCCTGTCATTCTGCTGCTGTCCTCTGTACTCATTCGACATCCGCAAAGCTAAACCTAAACGTTGCATCTAATAAGAGTTTATTAGATTCATAAATATGGCATCGAAGATGTTGCTTTTCCCCTTTTTCTAAATACATTTTCACTGCCAGTACTTGTATTTAAATCAGAAACACAAAAGTCACATCTCTTTTTTGTCCTTATCCTCTAGCAGTTCTGCTAAAATGTTGTCTCCAAATATTTTTATTTGGCATTGCAAGTAATCCTTTGTTAAGGTTTTATTATGTCTCTTTTCTGTCTTTGTGTCCTGTTTGACTTCTAGTATAATTTTCAATTCTTTCTCTGTCTTTCTCTTATAGACTACGTGTATCCTTGTCCTGTCTTCTCCCTCTGTGCCTTTCGTCCTCACCTTTACTATCTCTTACTCTAAACTCTTTGCTCTTCTCAGGTTCATCCTCTATCACTGGGTCTCCCTTTCCTCCTTCCTGACACTCACCCGTTTCCATATCCTGCCATCTCTCGCCCCTCACTAATCCTGCCACCTCTCTTATTTCTCTCCTTGTAGTTTCTCTCTCTGGCTTTAAAATCCCTCCCCTCTCCCCTCTGTTCCTCTGTCTCTGCTAATCCTTTCATTTTCTTTGTCTCTCTATTGTCTAAAAGTCAGATTAATTTCTCCTTTCTTTATGCTCATTTTTTTGTCAGCTTGTCGCTCTCACACTTTAAATTCCTCTGCAGATCTGCTGATTTTATGGCATCCAGATAAGTTTATGGATATCATGGACCTTTCAGTTAGAAGGATGAATTTATGTTAATACAATTTACTTCAGCCCAATTAGAAACATTTGACTTGTAAGGTTTTTAGGTGACAGGTGGGTTGCAGCTCTTCAGAACGCCATGTTGACCCAGTAGAGAAGCATGCTGGGGAGCTGGCAGGCATGATCGATCCACCTGTAGCATCCAGCTGTTTGTTTACCAACAACAAATCAATGCAGCGCTCGGCTGGGGGCCGCCATGTCTGGCCTCTGGCCTGCATGGAGCCCTCACACATATAGAAAACTCTCACACACATACACTCACACACACACACGCACGCGCACACACACACACACACACACACACACACACACACACACACACACACACACAAGCAGGCTGGGCAGTGGTTCTGCAGAGGAAAAAAGTTTATGTGAACTCTATTTTGAACATGTTGTGGACTTCTTTGGACTTTGGGTATGAAGTGATGTCCACATCCACACGACAGTTTACCTTTAAACTGGAGCTTTGAACAGCAGTCTAACATATTAACAAAATCTATCATTTAGACTTCACCAGGATTGTGAAAACTTGAACATACCTGACTGAGCTAAACTGAACCATAGAAATAAAATAGATGCAAACTCTTTGCGTTATCACATGACAGGAACACGGTGTGTTGTTACAGAGTGCTGTTTCTTCACAAATGATCTTTCAAGGGTACAGAGTTAACCTTACAAACAACATTGACTTTGACTTCACAACCCAAGACATCCAAAACACATGGATGCTTTTAGCTAAAAAAAAAAGTTTTTTGTTCAATCATGTAATAGTTGTTCTACTTTGTTGCAAGTAAACTTTAATTGTATTTTTTGTGTATATTATTGTGGACAGAGAACGAAAGGCTGGGATGTAATTTCTGCACAATAGATGACAGGCAGAGACTTGTTTTTCCATTGGCTATGGCCCGTAGAGCCTGTGTTCAATATATTTCATCATACACAATATCATTTTTATTGATCAATAAATACACATTTCAGGAACCCCATATGAATGACATGTTACTCCATGTGGGAGGTTATGAAAGCCTGACATAGGTATTACTTAAATACATCAGTTGAGTTTATTAGATCTTTTTAATTCAAAGCTTAGGGTTCAGGCAAGTTATCATTTCAAGTACTTAGTCAAAAAGGAAATGTTGAAGCAAATTTAGGAGTAGTTGGTGTTTAAGTCAAAGTTAGGTCAAGTTTTCTTTATATTGGGGAAGTCAAGTCCACAGCTTTGCAACAGCATGCTAGGGAAAAATGACATGGAATCAGCCATGTGAGGCTGCAATGACAGTCAGCAGCAGACCTGAATGTTACTTGTTTAATCTGCCAGTGTCTTAGAGGAAACCTAAGATTCAACTTCAATTGCTCTGGGAATCTTAATTTGTATACAAACATACAAAGGCAAAAAGGAAATGTGTTGGTGCTTTCAGGTTAGCGGTGAAATGAGTCTCTTGAGTTTCCAATGTTCCTTGTGCGGTTTTTGATAGACAGCAAGCTTTGATTGGGTTCTTTTGTTTTGTGTTTTTGAAAAGGAGGCAGGTATACATCAATACAATACCTATTTGTAGAAAGTCCTTCATTAAAATCATTAAAAACTAAGAAAAACACAACATTCAAAGATCACAGAACATTAAGCAGTGATGCTGACAAGAATCAATCTTATCAGGGTTAAATGACTCATCTCTCTTGTAAGGCTGTTTTATCTCGAGTTTACAACAAGTGTGTGAGTAAGGGTTCCACATGTTTGCCCTCTGAACTGAGAAATATGTCTTTCAAAATGAGGATTTACAAAATGTTACTTTACAATTTAACATAGACGCACCCTGACTGACAGAGGAAGAGACTCTGAGATCCACAACGTTACTGAGACTCTTTTGAGCCTTTTTATATTCTTAATTCAAAATGTTTTTGCCTCTGTTTTGCAAGAGAGATATTCTTAAAATATGGTTGCTGCTGTTAATTCATGTAAGCTTTCTCATAAGATTCTTCATAGCGCATGTATGTATCTAGAAGACACCATTCTGCATGGTAAGAACTGTTTATGACCAACGAAGTGTCTACCATCAGATGTTTCCCACATTTTAAACTCTTCATCTAACTTAACTTTTGCATGCACTCTTTAGTGCATAATGCCACTCAGTCCAGACAACATTTATGGACCAAAAGGTTTGTGTCTTGTTTCCACACTTCTGGTAGGCACACACAAGTTGTAACTATATATCTACAAGTAAAGACAGCTCTGTTACCAGATTGTTTTATTTGTACAGAGGATCTATGACAAGCTTTTACCAGAGGTAGTTCCATGTTTGTGTCAGTGAACTATTTAAATTTGGCTACATTAACAAAATTAAACATTTTCTTGTTTGTATTTCTGCACAGGAATTCAGACCAAACAAGTAGATGTGGATGATTTAAAAAATAAGAAGTAGGAAAGAAGTTTGTCAGTTATTATTTTTTAGTAAAGGCTTTTCTCATGCATTTGTTTCCAGGTGACTGACCATAAAGGCACAGTGTGGCTCTGTAAGAGGCCGGAGGACAAGGAGGCATCTGGAGCCGTGCTCAGTGTCACTCTCATCCTCTACGGCACCTACAACCCACAGAGGAGTATGCACGGTATGTGAGAGTGTCAACCGCTTCCACTTCTTTAAGGACATGCACCTGAGATTACAACAAAGTTAGGGATACAGAAAATGAAAACTAGTCAAATCAAAAGTTGAAGATTTTCTACCCTGATTATTTCCAAGTTTTCCACAAGTGCAGCCCAAACAATTCTGAACCCTCAACTACCACCATCTGCCGTCCACCTTCCACCTCTGCTTCTTTGGCGGAGGCAGTAGAGTCAGAAGAAGTCAGAGGGCGACTGACCACAGGGACTGTGTTATGTAATTACAGCATGACCCCTGGCTGCCCCTCCCCATTCCTTCCCCCTTATCAGTGGTGTGTGTCATTCCCCATGTTGCCAACAACCTCCACACACATCAACACACACTCATACAACAGCACACTAACACTAGCATACACCTTGTTAGCCACACCAGCAGTAGCTATAACACCGTCCTCTGTGTCCCTGTCAGAGGTTTAAGGGTTGTTAGAATCACTGATGCATGCTGGGGGAGGGGGGGCATTGCACCAGACTCCCCTGTTGATCTCTGTCAACAGGAGTTTCTGCTGGTGAAAAGGTCCTTGAATATCATGGACTTTTGAAGGATGGTCTGGAAAAGTCAAGGATAATAAAAAAATGTTTACTGATAAGTTATGAGCTTTTATTTCATCACCATGATTTAACCCCAATTATATAAAAAACATCAGGCTACAAGGAATCTGTGAATATTCACCTGAGGACCACAGAAGGAACCCTGTGTGTGTGTGTGTGTGTGTGTGTGTGTGTGTGCATGTGTTTGTTGTGTGTGTGTGTGTGTGTGTTTGTGTGTGTTGTGTGTGTGTGTGTGTGTGTGTGTTGTGTGTGTGTGTGTGTGTGTGTGTGTGTGTGTGTGTGTGTGTGTGTGTGTGTCTTGCTCTGTTGCTCTCTCGTCTCTTTCTGTCAAGATGCTGATCTCTCTGTTGAGAAATCAATGGCTTCCCCCCTCCTCTTCAGCCTCTCTCACCATACATCCATGTACCCCTCTCCATGCTTCTGGATGTAACCCAAGTTCAAGCTGTTAGTCAATCTGCTGTCCACACACGGACACACTCACACACAAAAACACACACACGCACGCCACACACAAGCACTCAGTGTTGAAATGTCTGTCTTTTCCTCAGTCATAGTCATTTCACTCTGTCATAGCTTGCTGATTGTGAACTTTACCTGAGTCATGACATTGTAAACATTGTTTCCAACTAAACTCCTGTTTAGAACACAAGTATTTCATTACTTTTTGAATATTCCTTTGTTTATGTAGGCTATAACTAAATTAAATGAAGACTTTTTAAGAAGCGTATATATTCACTTTTTTACCAACCCTTAGTTGAGAAGATTAAAACCACTTACTATGTGTGTATGCATGTTTAATAAGTAGCTTGAGCCTGATTATTAATGGTTATTAGTGAAGCTTAGCACAAAACAAAAGGAGGTGGGGGGTTGGGGCCAGGGGGTTACAGTTTTATGAACTAAACAAACCAACATACATTAATAATATACATTATTTAGGGATAATTGAGATATTGAGAGGCTGACTTTTAACTTTTGGATAGAACTTGGGGCAGCAGTAGCTCAGTATGATGGGACTTTAGTTGGGAACCGAAGGGTCGCCAGCTCAAGTCCTGGTGTGGAAGTAGATGGTCTGGTAGCTGGAGAGGTGTTGGGGCATGTCCCGTGTTCTGCCCTTGAGCAAGAAACCGAACCCCCAACACACTGCTTCCTGTGTAGCAGTGTGTAGCAGTCCCACTCTGACATCTCTCCACTAATGCATGTCCACAGCTCCTGTTTGTGCATGTGTGTATTTCAGGTCTATGTGTGTAAGAAACATGTATCTCAATAACAGAGTGTAAAACCAGAGTTTCTCTCAGGGATTAATAAAGTATGTAACATTTAAAAAAATAAAATTTAAAAAATGGCCATTTGGCATGCTCAGCTACTCATTTCTCTAATCTACCTCCACATACAGTATACCACTCAGATGTAAAAGTGGCATTTATTGTGTCTTTTATGTATCTAGTCATTACAGAGAATATTTGATACATTTTATATGATGAGATAAGACACTTTTTCCATCTTCAGATGTAGCCAAATAAACAATCTGGTCAACAATCAAAGGTGTGGACACCTGGACAAGGAGTGTGCAAGTATGATCTGTATGTCACATGAACATTCAACTTATATTTGATTGTATAATATGTCTAAAGAAAACCATGGGCTCGTTTTAAATACTTTCCACCAGAGTTTTGAACAACTTTATTCAACGTCAACACTTATGTTGTTGCAGGTTTGTGGTGGTTCTGCTTCGTTGCGACTGTGTTTTAAGTTAAATGGTAAATGGACTTGAGCTTGTATAGTCTTTTTACACTGCATGAGTTCAGGGCCCTGTATAGATCAGTCACTTTTATTTAGAACGGAGAAACAGATCCCTTTTATAGACCTGGCCACTGTATGTGCATGAGGGCAAGGATTTTTTGAAAGACCACAGAAGACAGTGTCTTTTAAACAAAAGTTTGAAAGCATCGTATTTAGTTTTTTTCTGTTGTGAGAAATTTCAGTTGGAGCAGCAGCAATACAGCAGAAACCATAACAAACAGCCCCGGAGCCAAAGTACTGAAGTATTTTGAGTAAAAGCATGTCTGTCTATCTTTTAGGTCATGTTTTGCACAATATATTTTAAGATGACTGATTTATCCTTCAAAATGATTAAAGTTGTAATGCTGACAGCTGTTGTCATGAACAAATGGTTTGTTTAATTTGAATTTCAGAATTCAACTGATCACAGTCTGTGTAGTTATAATGTTGCTAAAGTATCTGAGTTTTTATTGAGGTAATTCAGTCCATGTACAATCTCAGTTGAAGCGGAACATACAAAGTATATAATGTTTTACTGATTTTCTTTACTAATCTCTGTGGCCTCTCTCTGTACTTAATGTGGGTAAAAGGGGATTACAGTTTCAGGTTAATTAGGTACACCGTGGTAAACTATACCCAGTTTCAGCAGCCCTACATTGATTCATACCTTATGTTGACAAGGGTGCATAAAGAAAACACCTCATCTTTCAGTTCAGTTTTATATTGCCACAAACACTATTCTCCAAATGGTCCAGCAGATTAAAACAACTATTTGAAAGATGACGATTTTATAATGATTCATTATAATATTACTATTTTTTTAAATGTATTTATTTAAAGTCTGCTATATAAGAATGTATGGTTTAAGAAAAGTTTACCCGCACTTTTTATACAATGTCTTAATTGAAAATAAAGACTGAAAACAAGAAGATGTATATATCTGGTGCCTAACATTGGAATAAATGATGTTAATCTTTCTTATTTTCTTCCAGTTTCATGCTAAAACACCTCTGTGTCTTATATGATGGCAAATGATTGATTATTTTGATCTTATTTCTGAAGAAAGTGCAGCTCTAAAATGCATTCCTTTAAGTGGCATCACAGCGACTGGTCAATATACTGTATATACTGGAATGCTCATAATGTAACTTAGTAGACATGTTTTCAAATATTGTGTTAAGACATTGTAGCAAATCAGCCACCCACTTTTATTTTTCTCTGGCAACATCTAACACTCTCCATCTCAGTTGTTATGCCAGTTATCCAGCAGATACCACACAGTGAGCGCTGCAATGTGTAGGATAAAGCCACAGCTCCAGCCTGGGTGTCCTTTATGATACAGCCTCATCTGTGTGTGTGTGTGTGTGTGTGTGTGTGTGTGTGTGTGTGTGTTGTGTGTGTGTGTGTGTGTGTAGGGGTTTCTCTGCCTCTGTGTGTGTGCTTCCACCGTGAGTGTTTGTTTGGTGGCTGTGCGGCAAGTGAGGGTAAATTGCTGTGATTATGTGGCAGTAATTGAACAGGGATGGTGTGTTTAATTGAGTTGTTGTTTCCTGATGTTTCTCTGTAGTAGCAGGAGCTGCAGAGCTGACAGGTGCCTCGTCTCGCCTCATCTCTCCGGGAGTTTTTTTATATACCATCACATAGGCTTTCTTGTGCCTTTTTTAAGCTGCATTTCTGCGTGGTTTGCTCTTAATGGGGTTTGTATGGCTGAATGATGTGTGGGGGTTTTCACTGTTACTGCAGTTCGAGGGAAGTTTGGTTTGTGATATGTCAAGTTTTGTGCATTTTCTTAATAAAGGTGCGTGATTTTCAATGTATGTATGTTTAACGGCGTACATTAGTGAGAAATTCACTTATTCTTATGTGTGTATCCTGTGTGTAATATTATGTATGTTAATATTGTAACTGGCATTGTAGTCATGAATCTGTTTTATTTCTTGTTGTTGTCCCTGTTTGTTTGTCTCGTTCTATCTCTTTTTTCTGCAATCCCAACACAGTGGCAGCACATGTACAACATTAGTCTGGTTCTGTTTGAGGTATCTCCCTGTTAAAAGGACGTTTTTCCTCGCCACTGTTACTTACTTACTTACTTACTGAATGTTGCCAGTATTTGGTCTCTGTACATAATATATTAACAAAGACTACCGTAGACCTGCACCTTTTGCAGTGTGTCTAAAAATAACATTTGTTATAAATTGGCACTATACAAATAAAGATTGATAATGTGATTTCATAATACATGTGAATGCATTTGTGTTTTGCATCTACTCTACTCCACAATCTGTATGTTATGAGTGTGTGCGTATGTGCATGTGGCTCTATCTGATCGGCCTTCTGGGCTCCATGGCCCAAATCATATGGTCGAAATCACCAATTTCACCATCCTGTTTCCTCCTCCTCCCCCCTTCTCCTCTCTCCTGGTTTGATTTCTCCTCTTTTTCTTGCTCTCCTCCCCCCCAGTTCTTCTCATCCTCTTCTCCATCTCTCCTCCCTTCGTTGGTACCTCGCTCTCTGCGGAGATGTGATTACATCTCTCCTCTGAGCACTAGTGATGTAAAGGGCTCAGTGAATGTGTGTATATGTGTATATGTGTGTGTGTGTGTGTGTGTGTGTGTGTGTGTGTGAGCGTGTGTGTGTGTGTGTGTGTGTGTGTGTGTGTGTGTGTGAGCGTGTGTGTGTGTGTGTGTGTTGTGTGTGTGTTTGGTGACTTGTTGGTGATCTAAGCATCCTGGTGCAGCGTATTGTGTGGTGTAATTCACGGACAACGTCTCCAGATGAATGCTTCCATTCATGATTACAGCCTCTCTATTAGCTGCAGCCCTCGCCGCCTGTTGTTGTCTTTTCTTCTTCTCTGCAAAAAAAGCAATTAAATCAAGACAAAAACAAGCTGGAACACAAATGTTGTACCTGCAAAAAGTGAGAAAAAGAAAACAGCAAGGAAGAGGTGTGGGAGTGTTTGTGTGGGGCGAGATACCTCAGTCCAAAACACAAACTGTCAAACATTCATGCATGACTGCAATCTACTCAAAGAGACACACAAAACTTCTTTGTTTGGGAAGTAGAATTTAGATTTTCATGCTGTTCTGTTAGAGTGTCTGACTTTATTTTTAAAAAGGATTCGATTTCCTCACAAACATTTGGTGCTGTCGTTTTTGAATGGGCCACTAGCATTAAAACCTTGACTTGAAGCTATGGTAAACACAATGTTAGTAGTGTGAGTCATTCTCTCATTTTTATTACAATAGTACTACAATAGTATATTTTTTCTGTTATCTGGAAAGATACTTTTTTATACTACATGCTGTAAATACCTACCATGCTCAATCTTAACTGAAGGAGAGTTTTTGTTGTTTTTTTTAGCTATGGATGCCTGTATGTGTGTGCACTTTAAGGTGAAACCTAATAATTACGTTGTACAGCTGTATAATGACAATACAGACATTCATTCTATATTTCACAATAACACTATCCAACTAACAGTATTTAAGCACAAACAGAGAATAGGTGTATTTCAGGTAAAAGTAGTTTATGAAATAAATATTTTATTAGTTGAAAATGTGATAAAGAAATGATACACACAATTAAACTGAATATCCATGTGTCTAATTATTAAAGATGCAGGCACACCACAAGTTGCCCAAATGTGTCCAAATATTCTTAATAATGTTGTGAAAAGTTTATTTCTCACTGATTTTTATAATTTTTCTTCTTGCCATTTTGCACAAGTTTCCATCATAATTGAACAGACATGAAACAGTTTGTCAAAAAAACGAAGACCCCCCTTTTTTTGACCTGCCGATATGTTATTGTGACTTATCAGTTTAATGTTAAAATCAGCAGGAAATATTTGGTTAGAAAGTTTAGTAGTAAAGTCAAAAATAATCATACTTCAACCTAAATGTATTACTGTCCTTTTCAGAGTGTATTGACAAAAAAGTGTGTGGATGATATCAAACAATGATCTCCTGCATGTTTCATAGATTTCCTGTGAATTCTTGATGCATAGCAGTTTGAATCACATGCAGAAAATTCTAGTGCGGAATTCCAGCACTTACAATGATAACTCTTCTAGGGAAGTGAAAATTTGCACCCGCTATAAACACTATGATACTTGCATTGGATCGCTGTTTTCATTTTGTCTATGGGCACAAGTAAAACTAAGTGGCTTCTGCAATGAAAAACATAAAAATCATAAAAACATGATTTCATGTAAATCTTCAACACTTCACTGTATTTAATAGGACAGTGATAGATACAAAACAGGGAAGAGAGAGAGCTGGGGAATGACATCATATACAAGTCAGTACAAACTGAACAGATTTAAGGATTTGAAGACAGAAAAAGTCTTGTTTCTGGTTTTTAGTCTTTGAATTTGTATGATTATCTCAATAATTCTGATACAAAAACCAAAACTCCAAGTAGTCTTTGAGAACATTTCTAAAATATGCACAAAATTGACTTGACATTAAATGGAATTGTTGCTTCTCAGACAGACAGTGCTACACAGCGCTCTTACAGTCCTTTTCTGATTTGTTTTTGTTTTTTCAGAAGGACCCCTGCGGAGCATTGTGTCCATGGGGTTGCGTCACCCCATCCCTCACAGGAGGGTGTTCCAAAGGGGCGGCTACCCCCCTCAAGACCTGATTCAATGGATCTACAAAATGGAGAGAGACAGGAAGGTTGGAGTTGCAGATATCAGCGTCCCAGCCAGACATAAGGTACAGTACTGTACACAGAGAGAACACACACGTCACACACATCACACACACTGTGATTTACTATTCCAATAAATCACTGGCACCGCCTAATTTCCTATGGATTTCAATTTCCCCCTGGACATATCTGCATTGATCAACTTCAGGTGTAAGGATGTGCCAGGCGTCGCTCACTGTGACACTGAAGAATGGCTCACAGATCTCTGCAATATGTGTGTGTGTGAGTGTGTGTGTCTTTCTGTGTGTGTGTGTGTGTGTGTGTGTGTGTGTGTGTGTGTGTGTGTGTGTGTGTGTGTGTAGGGACAAGACTGTGGGATTTGTGCACATGCAGCACTTCTGTTCAACACTACCGTCAGCGCAGAGGCTTTAGGAAACAAATCCTCGAGTCTGAGTAATAACATCTGAAAATGTCAGAATCATAGAGACAGAGACAGTTGAATGGGGACTTGAGATATTGTTATTCTGATCATATCTGCTCGTACACTCAGTCTAGGCCTGATTATGAGGAACAATTAAATATCACTATGGCTTCTCCAGCAGTTGTTACTGTAAAAAGAAGAGCAGGATATAACTCCTCTTTGAAATTAGAGGACATATTGTGCTTCACGGAATCATCTTTCAGCTCAGTGTTGAACTGAAACAAATATGATTCTCTTTCAGACTAACACTACATTATCCCCTCACGATCACTGAAGCCTTCTCTCTGTGTCCTTTACGCTGCATTATGAGGCCAATTACAGCTCTGACAAAAGTGTGCCGCTGGACGACAGGTAGCTGTGTTTGTGTGTCCTTGCAGGGGGAACATGGCCCTCATGCCTGGAGATGAGTTTTGAGCTGGTGTTAGGAGGCAACGACAAGGCCTGACAACGTCTTTACCCTCAGTTCCTCCCCTAGAGGCACATCTGAATGGATCGTAGAGGCAAGGAGGAGAAATAAATTGGAGAAAAGGATAAATCGATGCTTGGCAGAGAGGCAAACAGACCTTTCAACCCCCAGCCCAGACACACACATACAAACACACGCACACACACAGAAAGACAGACACACACATACAAACACACACACACAGAAAAAGACAGACACACACATATGAACCACGGAGTGGCTTTTTTTCCTTGGGCTGTATTGGATTGGTATGCAGAGCTGAAGAGAGAGAAGCTCAGAAAAAGACTTGGCCTACAAATGATGTCCTTTGTTTGATCCACTAGGTTGGGGGGGGGGGGGGGGGGGGGGGGGGGGGTCGTCCCACAGAGACGTTGGAAGGGCTGGGAAACAAACATCTCTGTCTGTGAGCCCCTCTCTCTCTCCCTCACAAACAGCTACTCAAAAGAAAGAGAGAGAGAGAGAGAGATGGTTGTCATCTGCGTCTGTTGATGAGTTTAGAGGGATACAGGATATGGTGTGTATGCATGTAATGCTTGAATGTATGCTGCCAATGTGAAGCTTTTGCATATTTCTAGTTTATAAAACAGGGGTCTCTGTTTGGGTTTTGGCATCATGTTATTGACGTCATGTTATCAAATAACATGCAAGCATTGCCAGTACTACGCAAACAAGGGTCAGAGATTTGCCTTTTTTGGTTATGGTCCCCCATGTATGAGGATTTTGTTTGTTCTTTTCCTTGAGTTCTGTCCCTTTTGCTTACTTTCAAGTGTTAACAGTAAGATTTACCAAACTCTTCAAAGAAATGCAAGCTGTTCAAAAAATCCATGAGAGTTGATCATTATAATCAGCACCTCCAAATTGCTATTATTATTATAAGGCTGGCCACTCTGTCCCATTTGGTTCATAGAAATGTCATGAAAGAGTAAAAAGACCCAATGTTTCAGAGCTTGATGCACCACTGATGAAAATCTGTGGGGGGAAAATGACAAATATCAACAGTGCTTTAGGATGTCAGATAATAAGAACTATTTATCTGTCAATGGAGCTTAGGCAAAAAGTGCAAACTAAAGGAGAGAAATAAAGAGAGAGTGGTTTAAGCAATAGACGCTAAAAGGTTTTGAAGCAATAGGGTGTATGACTTAAAGAGGAGACAACTCAAGGTACCTTTTAGTTTCTGTATAAAACATGGACTTAATCTCATTGATGTCACCCACTGGTGAAGAGGCATCATGAAGCCCAACGATGACGGACGCCATATTGGAAATGCTATCTAAGCCATACTTTTCAACCTAGAAACAGGCAAAGAGGAAGTGGGGGCCTTAAGCCTCCTGTCAAACAGCTACAACACATCAACCTCAGCCATTCCCATAATAATGCAAATTATAATTAACTCTAGGATGAAATGACCCCTCCCTCCCTTATTTTTATGTACCAATAAAGAAATTAGCTATTGATACCAAATTGGTTGTACTGAGCCAGACTGTAAAGATGTGTATTTCTGCTGAAAGATGGGACCCTTTAGCAGCCAGCCTCAAGTGGACACTCAATGAACTGCACTTTTTTTTGCACTTCCGCATCTGCTTCATTTTTCAACACCAGAGGTTGCTGCTTATAAGACGCACCAGACAACCATCTAGATCTAGTGTGTTCAATGTACTTCAAAGTCGAAAAATCAGATGAGCAAGACATGAGTAGAAGGAAGATGGGTAAAACACAACTATTAGCCAGGAGACTTGGGCTGGTGTCATGACTGCAACCAAAAGTCTATGTTAATCACGTATTAGAAAAGCTTATCGGCCAAAAAAGGACGCTTTGTGGGTATCGTCTGAACTTAAGACGTTCCAGACAGCCTAAGCCTTACATTGTTGTAGTTTTCATAAGCAAATGTTAGCATTAGACATTTTTGCTTTAAAAAAAAAAAATTATTTAATTTGAACATATTCATAATCTCAACTCTCAGTAAAGATTCTCATAAAGTCAACTCAGTGTTCTCCTCCCTCACTGGAGAAAGGCAGTCTATAGTTATGACTCATATCAGGCATGGAGTGCTCATGACCAAGTTTATCAGCTTCAGTCCCCAAACAGACAACTTAACCCTAACTTATTCTGAGGGGTTACTCCATCATTGCTCATCTTCTTTCCCTCCACCACAAGGTTTTCTTTTCCTCCTTCTTTGGAAACATGCACTATTCTCAGCGCTTAACCAGAATCATCATAGGACACCATTTATTTTAGCTTGGGAGTTCTCTGTTTTGCTCGGTGTCTTTTTATAGTTTTGCTGTTCATACTGTACTCCCTGCTGTGCCTTATTTTCATGAATGCTGTGAGAAATAATTGAAAGCTCCGTGTTCAGTGCCGTCTGTTGCAGAACTCCCTCTTCCACATGCCTTGTAAATACTGTATCACTGAAACCCCCGCTGTAAGCTGCCGGCTCGGGAGCTCTGAGGTGTCAACACTCATTGAAAACTTGAGCCAAGATCAAATCGTAACAAGAGTCTGAATGTCACTCCTGTGGACAGAGTTGGGTTTTGATTGGTTTTAAATTTAGCTGCTTGTCCTTGTCTCTTTCCTTGAGAAAACAGGGTGAAATCTGATTTCCTCTGGTGTTTTCTTTCTTTCTTTCTTTCTTTAACTTTCATTCATAAAGAGGATGGGAAAGATGTCACAACCCCTGCTGCAAGTGGTGCTGGTGTGAAATGCAACAGATGGAGGACCTCAAGGAGTCTTAACAAGAACAAATAATTTACCACAACAACTATAAATAAATGACACCATGTGAGAACTAGATCAAAGGGCCACTTTCAGATTTTACACAGAAAGTTAATTTAAAAATTCCTAGAGAGTACTACTCATTGTGTGAAAACAGAATGTCTTTTATCGCTCACCGAAAGGTTTGTCATGTCTAAAAAAAATGATGATGTCATCATGGTAGGTGAAGGAGAGGACTCGTTTAGTATTTACTTATTATGACAAAAATCTAGCTTTTAGGAATAAGATCCAAAAGGTTGCATCCTCAACCTCTGCTACCTCTTTGATTTTTGACTTTTGCACCTCTTTTGATTCCCAACTTAATGCAAATTGAATACTAATTTGTTGGAGTGATCCCCTCAATTTTATTACTGCAATGACTACTGAAATATCGATTGACATTTTGAGGTTCCTCCTCACTAACAAGATGAGATCCATGGGTCAATACAAGCTTACCCTAATGTTGTCTTTAACCTGCAATATCTATTCCATCCTCTAGATGTTGAAGAGCCGTGACAACTTAGTGAAGGGTAACCAGGCCATCAAGAAGCCCCTGACATCAATACGGCTTTCCAGGTAAGTAGCAGCAACAAAAATATGAGAGAAGATATAAATGACTTCATGTTCAGGTTACATTTGTTTTCATATACAATAATATAAATATACAATACAATATAAATAATTTCATATATATATATATATATATATATATATATATATATATATATACAAAAAATGATAATAAGAATATTAAATGATGATCAACAGTAGCAGCATACCTTGCCTCTACTCTATGCTTTTATATTTTTTATGTTTCTAATGTCATTTTAATGTTTTTTTTTTTACTGCAGTTCCAATATGCTGTACAGAAGTCCTCAACAAGGTCTAGACCTTCAGCTGTGATGAAGCGTCATTAAACAAAGACCATCAGGGACTGAGAGAGAGACGGTGCTTACCATTGCAGACTCTGCAGGGTGTCATCATGGATGTGAACAGTCAGACTCTGAAGAAGTGGAGAAACTATGAGCCTACTGGGAACCAAAGAAAAAAAAGATGAACCATTGTTAAATAATGACTTCAGCAGTGCAGAAAAACAATTGATCATGAATCAATTCCATGTCCAGTAATTTGACTGTGTGGCCCCCAGTGGTGGCACCCATTACTTCTTGTGGTCTTCCTGCTTGGCTTTAAATCCCAACCAATCTCCCGGCCACAGAAAAACACACGAACGTGTAAATCTTTCCTAAAAACACAAATGCAGTTTTCCGCTCTCATCTCCCCTCCTCCTCCTCCTTTGCTTTCAGAGGTTGCGAAGGTTAGTGAAAGATATGTTTGTCTTTTTCCACTTCATTGAAGGGTAAATTCGGCTCAGTGCAATAAGAAATGGATTACCCATTCATTAAAGGGGCTGTGTCACTCCTCATTGAGTTGGACAAATAGCAAATTAATTTCTAGCTGCCTAATTTCTCTCAGTTCTCCACTGAATTTCCGATAACGTCGAATTACTGATCACAGCCATGTGAGCTCCCTCAACTTTTTATCAATTCATTAAAAAATGTGCCACCGAGGAGATGCTACAGAGGAAACTCTCTCTTTATTTCTGCATGCTTCCTTTCCCACCACAACACTGTATACAAACTGAAATCAACCCAAGTGTTTAATTGAAATTAGGATATTAAAAACACCAGAAAGTGTGGGGGAAAGTTTCTTTGCTGTCTTTTTGGAAACAGAAGGAAACTTTTTAACAAAGTGGTCTCAATATGAAACAAAGATGTGAGAGTATTAGCTGCTTTTTCCCTGTCAAGTGCAGGTCTGTAGGTAGTGGTGTTTTGTAAAGGAGCTGTAGTGTATTGACAGGCCAGTATTGATGTTTCAATTAGAGCAGCGTTACATAGTGCCGCAGCATGGTAACACGGTGCGTCTCCTGCCATCTGCTCTGCCTCAACGTCTGACGAACGAGGCACGTGGGGCTAATCGAGCCGCACATGAGCAATGGGACCACGAGATCTATCACACACACACACATAAAGACAGACACACACACATCCTATACGCACGTCCTTATGCAGAAAAATGGGGGGAAAGAAGAGGGAGAAGTCGTCAGCCCTGCTGTTTAAACAGCCTTCAGAAACCTGTGACTCCTCCCCTTCTCCCTTCACATGAGCCACAGGAGCAGCCAGCAGGTTATTCCTCTGACAAGAAAACAGGCAAACCCACCAGATGCACCAGTTAAAATTCTTCAAAAGGCTCATCTGACGGAGAGACAAAGAAAGAGAACGGCTTCTGCCAGGTTTTCTCGTGCTGGGATGGTCTGAAATAACAGTGTGCATTATGCCTGGCATTATTGCCTGCCAAACCACACGAATCAAAGACCTCATTGTGTGGATTACCTCGTTAATCTGTTGATGCCATTGAGTAGTATTGCAGGTGTTAATGTGCCAGTTTTTTTTTTCTCTCTCTCTCTTCTCTTATTGGGGAGGTGTAGCGTTAGGTTGGTAATCTGCTTTAAATGCTTTCTGGGGAATGCGACGCGCTGAAACTCAGCCAAGAGAACTCTGCTATGGTGAAGAGCGTTCTCTTAATACAGCACACAGAGGGGACTGACAGACCGAGGCTGCCATGCTGACGCCAACGGGGACGAGCTAGGGAGCTACACGCCCCACGCCACTTGTTGAAATATATGAGTGTATGAATAATGAAAGAGGAAAGGGAAAGTGATATTGCTAAAGCAGTCCCACAATGACATCCATCACAGAAATGCCTCATTGCTCTTCTTCTACTGCTTCCTCCTGCAAAAACTCCCAAGTTCTGTCTCTTTGGAGGAGCTAACCAAAGCTCAGCCCTGTGCCTGGATGAGATGATTTAGAGGTGAACTGCAAAACCAGAAAGAGAGAGAGAGAGATAAATAGGCAGACAGAGAGAAAGACAGAGGGAAAGGGACAGAAAGAGAGGTAATCCTCCCTTTTTTCTGCTCCCCAGGGTGGTCTCTTCATCCACGGCCTCAAAGAGGGACAGAATACACCTCCCTGCTACAATGGAGGGGACCCACAGGGGCTGTTGCTATCTGTGTGTGTGTGTGTGTGTGTGTGTGTGTGTGTGTGTGTGTGTGTGTGTGTGTGTGTGATGGGGGTGCAGCTTTAAGCAGGCCTTTGAGTGGCCTAATTGCATTGGAATACAGCAGTCTGAGAGCTGGCTCAGATCACGGCAGGCTGCTGGAGGGGTTAGCGCCCGCACCTCGACAGCCACACTCAGCAAAAGAGCCCCGGCACAATGCACACAATTAATGTTCTCCCTCTCGTTAACTCGCTCCCCACTTTTTGTCCTCTTCTACTTTCCCCTCATTCTCCTCCACCTCGCCCCATATCTTTCTCTCTCTCTCTCTCTCTCTCCCGACCCAGTATGTAGTCACTCACCCACTGTATTAATCCTCCCATACAGCCTGTCAATCTCTCCCTCTCTTTGATGCGCACAACAATTACAGTAAGGATGAAAGACGTGGGTCAGCTCCCGTTATATAAGACTGAAACGAGCCATAGCGAGAATTATTGATATCTGAGCAGCTAATCTGAAATAAAACCTCAGCCACATAAACTCTTTGTTTTTACTCTGCAGCAATTGATCTGATCCTGATAAAATGAAGGGAATGTTTTGTTTGTCATTGAATGTATTCCACAGTGCGAGAACTGAGTTACGCTTAAAAGAGAGAGGTTTCAACTCAATAAACTTAAAAATAAACTTATTATTATAACTTAAAAGCTTTAAGCTTTTTGCTTGGTTCCTTCCTGGTATTTTGTTTTTCTTTCTTTTCTGGTACCAACCAAACAAGTCAAAGTTGTGGCAAGGGATAAAATCAGAGCAAAGAAATATCCATTCATACGTGATTGTTCCCAAAAGAGGAGCCTGTAATAAACACATAATGTTCCAACAGGGGCTATTTTTTGTCCTAATGGCACTAAATATTGTGGTTTTTAACATTTCATTGTACCTCGTTGGGTTATATCTCCTGTAGTAATCGTCCAGATATCATTACAATCCCCTTTTAACTTGTACTGTAGTAAGAGATGAAGCAATCATTTCATCAACAGACAACGTATCTGCAACTATTTTAAAGATGATGCATTGTTCAAATGATTTTAGATATAAAGAGGCAAACGTTGTAGGATTTCAGTTATTTAAATATGTAGTTTTCTGATGTTTTTAATTACAGTGATAACATTTGGGTATCAAAGGTAACACTTTAAGAATCCCCTCTGAACATGTTTAACTATAATGTCCCTAGAACAATAACGCGTAAACAATCTTTTTTCTGAAATAAACATTACATTATCTTTTCAAAATATCTTCAATAACTGGGGTGCAGTGGACTAGTGGTTAGTTTTGGCAACCCATGCACAGAGGCTACAGTCCTCATAGCAGGCATCCCGGGTTCAAATCCAACCACATGACATTCCCAACTCTCTCTCTCTCCTTGATTTTCAACTTTATCCACTGTCCTATATCTACAATAAAGGCATAAAGAGCCTCAAAATCAACCTTTAAGAAATTTGTTCAATAACATATAATCAACTCAATAAAAAGATGCAGAATCTGTGAAAATGCTAATTTGTTTTATTTCATATGTTTTACTTTATAAGGCACCAGCTGTCTCCTACATCCCTGTGGAGTGTCTAAACTCGGGACGATTCAAGAAGATACATCAGACCGGCATAAGTTACATACTGGGGCATGATTGGTTTTAAACTAGCTGTGTTGTTTGCACTGGCAGGTGTTACATTGAGATTTTAGGTGAATACAAAGCAACTTTTCTAATCAGCTAAACAACCTTGGAAACTCGAACTCTGCCTATATGCTACAAATAAATATGGCCCTTTAGTATGCATGTGAATTTCAAATAAACAAAACCCATTTTTAAATGTAGGCGGACTTTAAATTTGTCAACTTGCATTCTGGGAAAATTATATATAAAGGAGAAAGTGTTTCTCATGATGGCATAGTGTTTGGTTGTAAATAAGATCATAAGAGTCTTGACTTTCTCCTCTTGTAAATTGTCCTGAAGTCATTTTTGTTATTATTTGGCCTATCGTGAATAAAACAAATTGCTTGATTGTTTGAGAAGATAGTTGTCTGCTGCAGCCTTACATACAGTCAGTAAGCTGTTAGCATCCTTCTGAAAGCACTTAAACGTGGACATTTCAGGGAGGTCCCAGCCTCTTCCCCTCCAGTGTGGACTCAGATGTCCTTATCTTTAAATGGGACTCAGTGGACTGTGTGTGGAACAATCAATGACTTTAAAAACATATCATATTTAACCAGCCCCTCCCCTGACTTTCTGTATTACACGAGCCGTGTCTTAATAAAATCTAATTATTTCCGCTCGCAGGACGCTTTCTGCTGAGAAATTGGCAGAGGGATGTGAGCTGATGTATGGGGAGACAGTCGCCTAATTAGAGCGTTAGAAATTGAATCTTTACAGCACACGGGTCATATAATTATCCTACTGTTAATTTAACGCTTACATTCTCTGCTGTTCATTTTTATTCCCTTAAATGTAGTTTGGCAGCGGCCCTTGGTGTCTGTGTTTTTACTGTGTGAGAGGAGGCAACATGGCCCCTCACACTGGCCCCTCAGAGTGATTGAATAACTGAGGACCCTGCAGTCCAAATAACAAGGCTCGCATCATTTATGCATTGTTAAGCCATGTAATTGAAACGAGCCATAGTTTGCATATTACACCATTAAAATAATGTGCTTTGCGTTTCTCCCAACACGACTATTTAAGCCTGTGTGGCGATGTGGTAATTCTTTGAATTACAGCCTAATTACCACAATGTTCTTTTGATTTGGCCGATTTCAATGTTACGCCACAATAATGTTCAATATTACCAGAATGAATTACTGAGCCGTGCCTGGAAACTTTTCCTTGTATGACTTAAATCCTGGAGGCTTCATGTGCTATCAGTGCAGCTGGATTCACATCCATAAAGGATTATTAGCCTATGAAATGAGATCCATTAAAGGCCCAATCAGTAATACTTAATTGAAGAGCTTGAGTTATACATGGAATATGAGCGTTTTGTTCTTCTGCACGGCTCATCATAGGCCTGGTTTATATAACTGTTTACACGTCAACAGGCCACCAACATCAGAAAATATTAAGACTGATAATTACTGCTGTCTAGCATTTATCCAAGCAAAAAAGGATGTTGTGTTAATGACAGAAGACAGCAATTTGTAACTTTGTATGACCATTTTTTGTACATTTTTGCAGCTTTCTGTCTATTTTTGCAACTAAATCAGCAACAAGCCAAAGACATTTATTTTACGTTAATGCAAAAGATCAGAATGTAACCCTGGTCATGTTTAGCACAGATTAGAGAATTCTGTAATTAGCACTTGTCCTTTGTTTCATGCCCTTGTATTGTTCACAGAACTCACTCTAAACACATGACATCTGTCCTTGTGTGAACTTCTTGAATAAATTAATGTTGCTGAGAATGATTTGTGGGTGTGCACATTCAATATGTTGACTTTTATGCTTTTACTGCACAGTTTGAATATTTCTGTGAAAATAATTCTTAGATAATTGCTTTTTTATTGCCTTTTAATTTTCCTAATGGGTCCAAGTTATTAACTGAAATGTTTAATTACAGTTTCAATCATTTGCATAGTTTAGAAGGTCTAAATAGAGGATTTGAAGAACTGCCTCTATTGATTTATAGGTTTAATTTGTAGCCAGTGTGTATTACTTCAGTCTTAGATTAAATTGTTATTGGCCAAAAAAAACTGTCTAAAAGTGCTTTTTAATGACATGTATACAGCTGGAATTATTAATGTTGTGTAATATATAAAATAAAGGGACTGCTTAAAGCTAAATTTGAGTGATTTTCTCACACGGTTTCTTTCTGTCCCTGCAGTGTGAGGAGTGGCTTTGAGGACAGACATAATCTCTCTCATCGTTCTCAGTTTTTCTGGCCCTTTCTCTCTCTCAGGGCCCTGTGCTTTTTACTCCTCCCTCCTTTATCCCTGCGAAGGCTTTGTCCCCGCACCAGAGAGCCTCTCTAAATAGAGGCCTTTAGATAGCCCAGGAGCAGGGGAAAGGGGGGGGGGGGGGAGCAGCGACACGACTGCTGTTGTTTCATTTACCTCTCCCTATGGCAACCAGCAGCAGCAAGCCAGGAATGTCCCCTCTCTGGACAAAGTCCTGGTCCCTGAAGCTGACACTGGGGGATGACAGCTGGGACGGGATGGAACCCTGCCCTCCCTGCCCTGGACTGGAGGCCTGAGTCTGGACTTAATCCTCATCCTCACTTGTGTCTGTCTTCACTTTACTGGACGATGAGCTGCCAGAGAAGATTTTCACACAATATTAACTCTGTAAGACTTGTGTATAAGACCTGAAAATGATTTGAAATCTCTTTCTTATTTAAGAATCTTAAAAGCTTTCAGTAATGCTGCACCATGCTCCAATGATCCCTCATAGATCCTTTACCGTGCTGTAAACAACCATTAAGGTGCACATGAAATGTCCAGTGCTACATTCCATGAAGGGACATTTTGGATCCATATAAAGTTTCAATGTTTAAAAAAAATGTTTTAAGTCTTTCAAGCTATGTTTTTAAACTATCCTCCTTTTTTTATGTGTAACCACCCCTCCCTACGCAGGCTTATGAATTCACTTTACAGCTTAGAACACAAAAGGGGATTTGTTTGTTTTATTAGCTGTTAAAGGTTTTCGGGTTCAGACACATGAAAGGTGAGGATTTCATTGAGAAAAAGAAACATTTACAGTTTTACAAACACTGAGGAATAAAGTTCAGGATATATGGACTGTCTCATATATCTAATTAGCAATGATTTTACAAATATGTTGGCCAATAAACATAATGACAAGAACACTAATGCAGTGAGTGTATGAGTGTATTTTTTAAACTTATCTTCCTTCAGACTGTTTTTAAACTATGCCAGATCAGTGTTAGGCTACCAAACTAAGTGTCAACAACTTTGTTCCAGCAGTTTGCATTTTTCCAAATAAATGAAATGTATTAATATTTTATCTCAGAGAATAACTTATTTTAAATAAAATAGATTTTTTTGAAACGTGGATCTGCTTTTTCCTTCCCATTTATCTGATTTTGAAAACAAACCAATTAAATAATAAACTTAAATGTATCCTTTACTCCACCATGCCTCACTTCTCATATTCAAAGTGAGCTATGTTGGACTGTGTTATATTCAGTTATTTTTACATGCCTGATGTTTTAAAGTTGAATATATTTATATTGCTTTGAATGTTAATGTTTGATGTATATTATCTTAATTTAAAAATAATGGTTAACTTAATGAAGATTCTCATTACTATAAAATACTTAACTCATCTGGTCACACACAATACTGCACAAATTGAAGACTCATTAATATGCGATTAATCTCCTAGCAGAAAATGTTGAAACACTACAACATTCTTAAAAAACTAAAAAAGCCAGACGTCTGTATTTATATGCTAATAATATATATTTTTTAAATCCCCAAAGTCGATTTGTGCCGCAAAGAAAAAGTTTACAGTCATATCCAAATATGATGTTGCGCTCACGTTTCCATAAAAAACATTTAATACAATATTATGCGCAGAATTACAGTCATTATATAATTAACAGTAAAAGTCTACCTATAAAAGAATATGCACACAGCCTTTGTACAAGTCTGAAAGGAAACTCTCTCTCTCCTGGATCTAGGCTACCTACAGGCAGAGTCTTGACAGAACTTGATAATCAAAGTAAATCAACTGTATCTTACAGTTGCACTGCTGATCCTGCTGCTCCGTTCCCCAATGCTGCACTCCGGCTCTCCACTTCCACGGGAGCCTCAAATCGCACCTCTCCAACAAGGAGAGTAGTGTTTGTTGAGACTTCCCCGCAACCAATCCCCGTGCCGTTGCTCTTGGTAACCACGTCCATCATCTTTGGAGCTCCAATGAGCGGCGGGGGCGGGGCGGAGTCCAGGTGCGCCTCGGCGTCCACTTGGCAAAGCGCCTGGGAGCCGCCTGTGGGCAGGAGAGTATCTGTCAAATGCGAGGTTCCTTTAATAAGAGCGACCAGTCCGGCTCCGAGAGTCATGGCGACCGCAGCGTCTAACCACTACAGCATCCTCACCTCCAGCGCATCCATCGTGCACTCGGAGCCCGGCAGCATGCAGCAAGCCACAGCGTACCGGGACGCGCAGAGCCTGTTGCAGAGCGACTATCCGCTGCAGAGCAACAACCACACGCTCAGCCACGCACACCAGTGGATCACGGCGCTGTCCCACGGAGAGGGAGCCCCGTGGTCCTCCAGCCCGCTTGGCGCGGAGCAGGACATCAAACCCGCGGTGCAGGGCGCCCGGGACGAGATGCACAACTCCAGCAGCAACCTGCAGCACCAGTCTCGGCCACCCCATCTGGTGCACCAGACGCACGGGAACCACCACGACGGCCGGGCGTGGAGAACCACCACCGCGGCGCACATACCGAGCATGGCGACGACGAACGGCCAAAGCCTTATCTATTCCCAGCCGGGTTTCAGCGTCAACGGGCTAATCCCGGGTAGCGGTCAGGGGATGCACCACCACAACATAAGAGACAGTCATGACGAGCACCACAGCCCGCACCTCAGCGAACACGGTCATCCGCCGTCCCAGCATCAGCACCAGCACCGACCGCAGAGCCACCACGACCACTCGGACGAGGATACGCCGACGTCGGACGACCTGGAGCAGTTTGCCAAGCAGTTTAAACAGCGGAGGATCAAGTTGGGCTTTACGCAGGCGGACGTGGGACTCGCCCTGGGGACCCTGTACGGAAATGTATTTTCCCAAACCACCATATGCAGGTTTGAGGCCCTGCAGCTCAGCTTCAAAAACATGTGCAAGCTGAAGCCTCTGTTGAACAAGTGGTTGGAGGAGGCGGACTCCACCTCGGGCAGCCCTACAAGCCTGGACAAAATCGCAGCGCAGGGGAGAAAAAGGAAAAAACGGACTTCAATAGAGGTAAGCGTAAAGGGGGCTTTGGAGAGCCATTTTTTGAAGAGCCCTAAACCAGCAGCATCGGAAATAATCGGCCTGGCGGACAGTCTCCACCTGGAGAAAGAAGTGGTGAGGGTTTGGTTTTGTAACAGGAGACAGAAGGAGAAACGCATGACCCCTCCCGGAGCACTGCCAGGGAGTGAGGATGTGTACGGGGACACTCCGCCGCATCACGGGGTCCAGACCCCGATCCAATGAACTCTGCTGGACCCTCCAGGACATGCTTCTCCATTTATTTATCCCCAAGGTTATATATAAATCACTGGACTATGAGACGCTATAGTGGGTGCTTTATGTATAATAGATTGCAGTGAGTACTCACACAGTATCTGCAGTGAATATTTAAGAAATGGAAAAAGAGTGAGGGGAGGACAGGACATTTTTCACACCCAGAGCTAAAGGAACATAAGCCTGTGTTGTGTTCTACGAGGATACAAGCCCAGCACTGTGAGTGTAGTCGACGCAGTTTCAAGGTGTAGCCCCTATTGTGTATTGAAATAATACTTGACGAAAAGGAGGGAGGGGAAGAGGGATTGTCTACCTGGTTTGAGAGGAAAAGCTTAGCTGAATGGTTTCCATTCCCTACTTTTATATCGAATCACAAACACTTTTTTCTGTGAGTAAGATGGAAAACAAATGCAAAGGCGTTTAGTTTTGTAGCTCTAAATTGTGCGTCCAGCAGTGATGGATCCTGGTTGTTGCAGGGGGTCAAGGGAGCTGCGTTAATGGAGTAAACTGGAGGCCAGTAAATGCTGCAGCCCCAGTCCAGTGGAGTCCAGCTGAGGGTGAGCATCGCCTGAGTCCCATCTGTCAGCCAGGCAGCACAGAGGCGCGTTACATTCAGAACACTGCTGGGAAGCTGCAGGCCATTCAGCTCTTATTTATGCTGTAAACACCGAGGTCACGATTTACTTTTTCAGCACTGATTATTGTTGTTATTTGATAGTTTTTTGCAGCTCCTTGGTAAAGCTCTTTTATATTTGTCCCGAGGGCAGGTAGATGGTAAATAAAAGTCCGTCATAAGTCAAACAGCAGTATAAACAAACGGTCCATTCATAATCTCACTAAATAAGCGTTAAATAAAAGCTCTCCCCCTCACAGAGTCTCCCAGCTGTAGGAAGGGCTCCCTGACGATTGATTGGATTATCTGGCACTTTTCCACAATATGGGCTATAGATATAAAGAAATCTACAGAAATCTACGTCATTAACTCTCACAGAACCTTTGGATCCACTTTTGTAAATATTGTATAACTTTGAAAGTCATGGCTTCATCCATCTTTATACTTTCTTCACTGGGGCACTTTTGGATTGTTGTTTTCAAAAACAAGCAGGTCGACTTTTTTTAAATCAAGTCTCATTCATATCCTACCCACTGCCTTGTGACTGTGTTCTATTTAATGTTCATTTTGCTGCCGAAATTATGCTCGATTACGTGTTATTATTATTTTTTATTATTATTTGTGGCGCGTTTTATTATGAGTCTAATTATTACCATTAATGCGAAATCAATTTCGAATTTTTAAATTGTCCAAGGAGTTTTTTGATATACAATTTGATTCCCGTCCTGAAATTACACAAGATTGTTTTTCCAATCAAAACATAGTGCTTTAAGAACTTCATTCAGACTAATCACTGTTGTCGAGAATTGTCCTTAGTAAATCAGTTACGGATAAGCAACATTCAAAAACAACAAAAGTAAATTATAAGGCCTTTTTATTTTTTCCCAAAACACATTTTAGTGACATTCCAAAATCGCAGCATATGATCAAAATTATTATTATTATTATGGTTATTATTATTATTGTTATTATTATTTGTATTATTTACAAGGTGTTTTTTTTTTTTATGTTTCTAGGGTCGTTGCCGTGCATTTCATTTCAGCCATTTTATCCATCTTCATTAATGTTGCTTTATTCTGGGGAAAACTGCTGGTAGACATTTTATTTTATTTTTTAGTATTGTTAATGAGATTGTAATTTATTATACAATGGCTTTTATAGATGACACAGAGGGCGAGATATATATGAAATGAAACCGAGGTTTTCTTTTGAATAATTATTATTTTTAGGGAAGTAAAGAGACATATTTTTATTTTTCAGCGGGATTGCCACAGCCTGGACCGTCACAGCTATACATGTATATACATCTTTTCCTACAAAAGCTTGTTTTTCGTTTTTATGCAACAACAAAAAAAAGTCAAATATCCAGGGATTTGGTTTATGTTTTTCCTCTCATGTGGAAACTGTTTTTTCTTCTCTTTTTTTTTTGCCCTCGTGATTTGTGTTTCTCTTACAGAAAACAATAAGCAGAAAAGATCTTGGCAGTAAAATCTTTCCTCAGTAGCTTTAATGAATCGATCCAACTCATAATTCACTGGAAATTCAAGTTGTGGGATGTAGACCTGTAGCAATCCGACGCTGTTTTCTTGTTGTTTTCTTTTATTGCTTGTTGAAGCAGCCGTGTGGTTTGGGTGGATGTAGGCTGTGTCATATTCACTGGATGAACTTGGGGTAGATAAAGCTGAGGTGAGAAACGCCTGTAGGTGTTTCATCACCTCACACATGAATAACGGACTTGCACATTTTTAAATAATGGGGTTGATATTAAACAGCTTTTTTCCAACGTCGAGCCTAAATGTATTTTTTTTAATCGAGCAAAGCAGAATGCTGCTGCGGTGGGTTCACGGTCTGTCTGACATCTGTGCTGTGGAAAATACGCTTCTTTCTTTGAGCCGGATGGAATTAATGGTTGAGAGAAAATCAAGGTTGATGAATGAAAGATTGTGAGTCGATGATGTGCTGCTTCTGCTCCCGGGCTGCTCCTGCTGGCTTTGGCTGAGAAAACAGAACTACTATCCAGGACTAAATCAGGGGTTCCCAAAGTGTGGTCCGAGGATATGCTATGATCCATAGTGACTAAAATGGGTTACAATTGGTTATTTAACCGTAAAGCTGTAGCCTATATGCTTCAGTGCCATTGTCAGGTATGGCCTAATATTATTTGGGTTAGGGGTTATAATAAACATAAGTTTTTTAGTATTTTAAAAATGTATTCTTCCCTTACAATTCACAGTCTTGGTGTAGGCTAGATTATAATTTAGGATAACCTTTCTTTGTCTAAAAAAATGCACTCTTTCTGCTTTGTCCAAGCAGAACAAAAACGCAAGTTATTTATTATTTTAGAGCTCAAAGGGACAAAAACTCGTGTTAGACTGGTGTCACTTTGTCCGACAAGGTCAAGCCCCTTTAACCTTAAATTGGAGGTTGGCATTAGAGGCTTTGGAATGAGGTTGTTCTTTTCAACGTAGGCCAATAGGAATTACTTTTGTCCCAGAATGCTCTTACGAACATAATATTTCCCTTTGGACTTATTGTAACATTGATAGTGACAGTGGTGACCCTGCTGGTATTTTCCTATCCCCTTAGGTCTGACATTTCTCTGTTATATTCCCACAGGAACTCACGAGGTGATATTTGTGTGAGCATCTTTCTAAAATATATTCTGATTCATTGTGTTTTGGAGCTGACATCCCAAAATCTAAAGCTACTATTTACCTGCCACTTCCTGATGAACTACCAAAACGTCATAATATTAATTTAATTAATAATTTAATTCCAATCTTCTCAGTCAACCAAATAAAATGCGAGCTGGTGTCTGCTGTGGTGCAGATTGTGAACAAATGAGCATGTGTGATAAACAAAGAGTAAGATTTAAAAGCCTCATCACTATGGGCAAACCAGCAGGATCGATGAAATCAAAGTGATCAGTTATTGATAGCGATACAGTAAACAAGTCAACAGAGATAAACTAAGACAACATCTTTGATTGGTTCTTAAAAATACATATCTGTAGGACTTTAACTGTATTCTGTCACCATGTCATTTTTTTTTCATTTTTTTTTTTCTGTAAAGGTATTTGGTTGAACAATGGTTTAAAAGTTGGCCTATTTTGTTCCCACAAGAAAATGAAGCGCAATGATCCCACAATATCCAACTGGAGAGCTTTTTTAAAAGTCTTAATTGTTTTCAGTGCCAGTAATGGACTTTATTGTATTTTAATCAACTACTATATGGCGTAGGCTTCTTTTATATGGCAGATTTAGTACAGTCAAAGTTAAGGATTGAAATAGAGGGAGGTGTATCATTTCCTCATACTGTTTCCTTGCTGATGCAGGAAATACAATCTGTCTCTAGCATCATCACCGCTCGCCATTTGACCTGCTATTTGGACGAAATGACACCCGGAAATAAAGGCCTCTCTCGGAGCTCGGAAGTCGACCACTAATCAGAAAAGTGCGCCCTCGTGCCCTTCATCCGCTCTCCAGCAGATGCAATTAAGAGCGCGTCGCGTTAATTACACCTTCCTTTTTATTTAGGTGACTAGAAATTTCCCATTAGGCTCCCAGGGAGGAGAGAAAACACACACACACACACACGCGCACGCGCGCGCACACACACACACACACACACACACACACAAATACACGCGCGCGCGCGCACACACACACACGCACACACACACACACACACACACACACCTCACTGGTGTGTTATGGCGCTGAGCGATGGCGAGACAGAGAGCAGATAATCGATGCTCTAGCGCCATCTAGTGAGACCCACATTACCCCAGGGTGAGTCCGAACTGTTACGTCTTTGTATTAACTGTAAAGGTTGGGTCAGAAAAAAGTGATAGGCCCTATATTCAATCTATGGTTAATCAGGGACTCATGAGGATCATATGCACACCATAAAGTGTCTGATGGAGAAACATTCAGGTTAAATGTCATAAATGTTGGACTGGAGAAGAGCTGCTCTTAACTTATGACTTAGTCTCAAAGCAATATAAGACTTCAATATATCAAAGACATCAAGGTGTCTCACCCTTCCATACTTAAATGACAGACAAACAAAATTTCACTACTTTTAGGTCTCATTCTGAAATATTATGGGCTGTTTAGGTGATGTTTATTAAATGACAGATAGGTGCCAAAACTTCGATGTTAAGCATGTCAACTTGTGTCTTTACTGTTAAAGGGGAACTTCAAACAAACTGAATACACTTTAACTCATCTTTAGTGGAAGAGTTTTTAATAACACAGATCTCTTTTCTGCACATAAGAAGAACGTGCATAAAAATACAAATGTTAAAACATTTATTAGAGAAAATGTAAACCAGTTAATACAACTAACCATACTGTTAAAAAGAAGAAAAAAAAAGTCATATGCAGTGAATTCATAGTTCAAAACCTTTTTCTTCACACTACATTCAGGGACCAGAGTCTGGGCACCACTACAACTGCTGATGTTTCCTAAGCTTGGTTTTGGTGCCATCAGTGTCAGCAGTATCCCACTAAGTCATTATTTATTCCATTTATTTGTGAAATGTCAGAAAATCATACTTCTTCCTAAAACATTTCATTTTTAAAAAACTTTGTATATCAAGGCATTATTCAGTTGTGGTCAGTAATATTCTTTTTCAATGCTTTATAGACAAAGTATTGGCACATCAACAGAGAAAATCTATACTAAGCATTTAATGCTGAACATCTATTGACATGATGGAATACATAATGTATGTGGAATGCATAATGTATGTTTAACTGAAATTAATATCAAGCAATCATTTATTTGGGGAGTCATATCATTTTGTCCAGTAAAGCCTCTAAAATAGATTGAATTTAAAAAACCTCACTCATAAGGGACAGATTCCACTGATAGTGAACAAAACAAGCCAACATAAAAGTTCTGACAACATTACTTCACCTTGAGGATGAGAAAGCTCTCTCACGTTATGTTTTTTTAATGCAATAAATATTTCAGCAAAATCCCCAAATTTAAAATTGGCAGACCATCAAAGGGTTAAGTTATCTCTCAGACAAACATATACGGTTCCTGCTCCTCAAATCAAAATTGAATCTCTTAATGTTTTGGACCAGTGGTCGAAAAAAAAAACAAGCAACAGGCCTTTTCTATGTGACATGTCAGAGAAAAGACACACAGGTGTAAAGAGAAAAAAAGAATAGTGACTGAATTCCTTTTAGCTGCTGCCGTTTTGCACGCTGGCTCACTGTCACACAAGACTCTACACAAACCGATTTACACTAACCTACAAGCTGCTTTCAAACCTTTCAACCTTTTTTACTCCAAATGCCACTGATTTTTTTTTCCATTGCATTGTGATTCTGTGAAATCTGATTGTAGAGGTAAAAGGACATCTCAGCATGTAAAGCCTGTTCAGACAAGTTGGCAACAATCATGAAGGGCATCCGCTCAAACTGTCTGAAATGTCTTCACATACATTTTTTTTATCAGGGGATCTGGATTACTGTATGCAAGCTCACCTTTCTTCTCACTTTCTAGCCGATATTAAAGAAGCCTCATCTGTAAGTATCATTCCAGTGTTGTTGACAGACCAGTGCCTCCAGCAGTAGTTAATGAAGTGGGACAAACTTTAACATGGTTAAAATACAATGCTGACAAAGCAAACACAATTTAAAAAAAAAAAAAAATGGATATGAAGCGAGCAGATTAACAAACATGTTAGAAAATTGACAAAAAGAGCGTGATTGATCAACAAGCACAATATGTTTGTTTGAAAGAAGGAGATAAATACAGGATCTCAGATCACATTTTGTTATTTAACATTGTGTGTAACAATGTTTCACTGTGATTTCCTGAGATGTAATTAGTTTTGAATGTTTGCGATTCTTTTTTTCGACAAACTTTATTTAACCCCCCTGAGATCTCAATCTGATGTCTTTATATAAAGTTTCCCTGTCAAACATCATGTCCATCTCTGACTGGTGTGGAGATGAATCAGCCTTCTGTATCAATCACTCCTTCAATCTGTCTCCCTTTCTTTACTCACCCCCCCCCCCCCCCTCCTCCCCGCACATAGATAACACTGATACACGCTCACAAGCTGAACATAATTCCACCATTTGACATTGTTGTTCTTCAATCTCATTCAGATGCATCGCAGCTAATTACACTTTGCACACTTAAGTACACAAATGCGTGTGTGCGTTCATTTGTAAACGAGTTATTGTTTAATTATAACTTCACATGAACTTTGCTGATCAGTGGGGCGAAACGTGTCTCCCCCTCAGCACATAATTATTCAGGCTGTAATTGCTCGGCCTGTTTGTGAAACATGCTCTTCTCCCAGCTAGGCCATCTCGCACACAGCTTCTGTGCCAGATCCTGTTGGAGAACGCCCAGGAGCCTCCGAGCAGCTCAGGACTGCTGAGAGAACAGGACAGTTGAGTTTGATAGTTACTAAATTCACTTGAAGTCTTACCTTACCAGGATAAAGTGCATGTGCAACTCATGTAGCACTATTTTTTTTTAAATCAAAACAGAGCCAAATGATGGTCGGTTAAACATTTCTCTCCAAAAAATTTTGCACATACCTGAACAAATTATAACAATTTAGGGTACATTTAAAAAAAAATGACAGCTGTGGATCTTGTGTTTTTTTCGCCTACTTTTTCTGATTTCTTTTTGGGCCTTTTATGCATTTTAGAGATAGGACAGTGGATAGAGTCAGAAACCATGGAAAGAGTGGGGAATGACGTGTTGGAAAGGAGCCACAGGTCGGATTCATGGAGCACATGCATTAGTTTTTATTAACTCAATTCATATTGGAAACATGTACAAATGGACCTTAAGTTGAGCTTACCTCATCAAACAAATTGATTCAACTGTCAAAATGAAAGTTTCATACAAACATCCACAGTATATTATTCATCTTATAATGTAAGAGATTGATTTTTATTTTTATTACATTAGAAGTACATTTAAATTACCGAATGGGAGCAAAACTAACAAAAAGTGGAAAAATTATTAAGTGGAATAAAAAAGGAAATAGTTTACTTTCATGTTTTTTATTATTATTTTCAGTAATTCTATACAGGATTTTAAAAATGCCATTCAACTGGAGTAAACAAAAGGCAGACGACTAGTGTTCAATTTTTGTTCCATTACAAGAAATGAAGATGGAACACACGCACACACCAACATTTTCACACAACCTGTAATAGGTTAATTTGTTTTTTTAACGGTTCATATTCCAAAAAAGGTTTCAAACCTCTCTTTTAAGATGTTCAGGAAAAAACTTTTCCCTGTGAAGAAAAAACTTAAAAATAAACAACAAAAAATCCTACTCTTCTGCCTCTTAGCATATTGTGCAGCATTGCATCAACTCAAGGTAACTCATTGTCTGCACTGTGTTGTCACCTAAACTACATGAGGACATCACACATATTTGTGTTTGTACTTGTCAAAGTGTAAGTATGGAAACAGATTTAGACGGGGCTAGAAGAGTCATTGCCCACTGATGCTGCTTCACAAAGCTACCAACAGATTCAAGTATTTTTTATGGATTTAAGAAACTCAGCACTGACATTCAACATCTTTAGAAAAAAAAAAGATAAGCTTTAGACACAGCAATGTGAGAACTGACAGGGATGTGTTCATTATGAGAGTCTGTGGAGAGAAACTAGAGAAGGAACACCCAGCCACATAATGATGGGTATCACACAGGAGGCCTCCCTCAGGCAAGTCTGAGGCCTGTTGAGTCCCAGCCCGAGGACGGCTCAGGAGGCAGACCACAGCACTCTGCAGACATGTGTCTCACTGGAGAGAAGACTATTACTGCACCAGCAGGGTGCTGCCATATTTGTCAAGGTATGTTCTGGTGTCACTTATATGATTTGAGGTCAAAGTAGAGAAAATAAAAAAGAGTAAGTAAGAGGGGAGGCATGGGGCAGCCTTGTACAAACCTCCCAACACTCCCCATGTTTACATTTTGATCCTGGATTTATTATTCAGGAACAATATTTCTGTCCATACATGCCCCCCTGCAGATTCATCAAGCAACGTCTGTAGGCTCCTGAAAGACAAATAAAAAGCTGATCTAATTGCTGTGGATCCCCCCTGGATATATCAGCCTCGTAGAGAAGCATGACAGCAAGAAATCAGGCCATAGCAGCGAGCAGAAAGCCTCTATGAATCACGTTTGTACCCGTACACACACACACAGTGGCAGAGGCGGCGGTAGCGGTGTTGTTGACTGAGGAATAATCATTGGGGAGGCAGTCCAAATTAATACTTCAGCTGAGGCTGCCTCGTTCTCCGTCATTAGGGCACATTACAGGGCCACAACATACATCATTAAACCAGGCATAAACAATTCATTAAAAGGCCGTTAAGAAGACAAGCTAATGTCACTTCTCTCTGTGGTATTAATAGAGTGTAAAATGGCAGAGGGTTAAGGCAAAAAGGATCATTCCGCCACCAGTATCCATTCATCCTGACTAATGGATTCAGTATTTGTTGTGGATTCTGTAGATGACCCTACGTTTATCCCAATCACACTTACATGGCTGTATTTAAGAAGCACTGGCATGACTCAGTAACACCATTTTCATCCCTTTTGTTAATGTCAGTTTAAGTGTAAGACAAAATTGTACATTCCAGTAACCCTTTTTTTTTTGTTCGGTCAAATTTCTGATAATAACTATTGTCTTATAAACAAAAAAAGGCACACATGCACAGAGCTAGCTGTATCAGCCTTGTTTATTTAAAATCTGGTGGAAGTGAAGCACCCAGTTTCATCATGACAGAGGCACAATCTTTTCACCCAACAGTGACTTTCACACTGCAGCACAGGGGGCATCACTGCATGTACTCACAATGGCACGAAGGTTGAGCACACTTCCAGAGTGGGAGGAGAGAGAATGCATATTCATTACAGAAAAGCAAGGCCAACACAGTCATACAAGGTGCAGGGCTAGAAGACAGAAACAAACCATCAGTGACCACCAGAGAATGGTGTACATCTTTTTAAATAGTCTGCCGTTACATAGAAATGCTGTTCCTGACAGTTGCTGTACATATTTTACATCGTCTGTGATTTCATTGTGAAAGTAATTCTCTTAAAATATACTACAAATGGGCTTGGATTAAATGGACCAAGAAAATGTGATGTGTGCACTTCTTGGATTCCAGTCAAGCAGCTGACTTCCCCTCAAGAAGTAAGATTTTCATCATGTGAAAGGGAGGGCTGGATGACTCACTGTTAGCACATCCTTTTGGTTTTAAACACCCAGACTGAGAATCAACTTTTACACATCAACTTTGACACAAATGATACAAATGACTAACTATCATTTTGGGGATTCCTACAAAACAATAATTAGATACGAGCATTGATTTCTATTTGAATTCTCAGAGACAAGTGCAATGATCAATGTGAGTTGTGTTTAGTGCAGCACGGAGCGATTCATGGAGACAGGGAAGCAGTTTGAATCAAGACTCTAAACTCTGAAGTAAATCATCATGATTTCAGAAAATCCAAATGTTCCCCCCTTCAAAAAAACAAAAACAAATTAACAAGTTCTGTTTTCCTCTGTTAAAGTCTTAAAACTTAATTCTGGTGAATACAACTATACACCTAAATGTATTTACCAAGAAAACAGACACCCACAGATATTAAAGTGAAGAATAACTTAGTAAACCTAAAAGAGACGTGACCTGTGTCTTCATTGACATGTACAATACAACAAGTAACAGGTTGAAAACAAATAAGCGGCATTATTTACAAGTGTATCCTAGTAGTTACAAGAACTAGTTAGTTAATAAGACGTGCTGAAGAGCATGTTGGTAAAATCAAAAATAAATGTAACTATATCAAACAGGACACTTTTCAGTGCTGAATTCATTACATTGATCTTTTTTCACTGCAAGTTAAACAACAAAACATGGTGATTCCCAAAATGTGTTTTACTGTTAACATGTATAAGGAAAATGAGTTTAAATAACAATTTGATAAATATGATGTTGAACATTAATTACCCTGGCTAATATACAGTATATGGCATCAACACTGGTCACATAGTCCAGGAGTCTGCATATTACTTTGGTTGAAAGGCGATAAAGCAGTTCACTACAATCTATCCCAAATGGAGAACACACCACATTCAAACAAGAGTTTAAGGCACAAATATTGAATAGAAGCCTAGCTTAAAAAGAAAAATTCAAGTTTCAAAACAAAGGAAATGCTTTTCAAGCACTTGTGCCACATTGCAACTGTGACTTCATATATTACGTAAAAATTAAATAATCAGGAACATCAATATATTTTTCACAATCGTACTATTAAGGAAACATTCCACACTCAGATACTTTCTCTGTCTCAGTTACATCAATGTGTGTTTGTTCTTAAGAAAAACTTTGACTGTAGGTTAGCCTTAAAGATGACTCAGGATGTCTGCTGTGCTGGTGCCAGGAGCACAATATATGTAAAAAAAAAAAGAAAAAAAAGAAAAGTAAAGCATACAAATGAAATCTAGAAGAATTATTAAAACCCCTGAGTTACAGGAAAAATACTGAGATAACAAAGTATTTACATTTCAACATACTTTCAACAGGACTCCTTACGCTTCAATAAGAGTTCCTCATTTAAGTAACTGACAGAATAGTGTCAGGTTAGTGCGGGCGCCCCATGTACGGAGGCTATATAGTACATCAAGCGGGCGGCCCAGGTTTGAATCCGGCCTGTGGCTCCTTTCCCACATGTCATTCCACACTCTCTCTCTCTCCCTGATTTCCAACTCTATCCCCTGTCCTATCTCTCCAATGAAGGCATAAAAAGCCCAAAAATAAATCTTTCAAAAAAAAATAACTGACAGACAAGTAGCGCAGTGTGGATGAAAACAGGAAAAGCATGCAGAATTATGAAACCATGGTGCAACTGAGATATTTAGCTGCAGAGCCAATTCACTAGTTACCCTTTCAAATAAAGTTGACAAAAGAGTTTGTAACTGAAAGGATTACCAGAAGAAACTTATCACAGAAAAAAAAACTTACATGATGTAATACCATGTACTGTGGCCTGGCTCAATTTAATACCTGACCCAAGTTTTTACCTTACATATAAACAAACTTCAAAGGGGGCAGCTTGTTGAAAAGTCTAACATAAAATGTAACCATGTTTCATTTTCAATTAAATAAATACTCGCCTTGATCGGGCACGTCAGACCTCGTCGCAGACGTTCCCATCAGATTCAATCCAACATAAGCCTCACTTCATCCCATTATGTTATGCACCATGCTTGAATACCTCTAACAGGAAGTGCTTTACAAACATGTACATAATATTCAATCAATCTGTAGGCTGAATGTGGTGAAACGTAGAAAGGAGCACAGTAGTGTGGTAATTCTTTCCTCTCTGAATTGTGCCATCAAGACATTATAAATCATTACAAACGTTCAACATAAAACTTTGGCTTTTTTGACTTACAGCTTCAGGTTTGCTAGTTCGCCCTACTTAAATATCAGGATTCTCTTCTTTCCTCAGGTCATTCTAAATCATATATTTTTGCTTTTTTGGACTGTTAAATTGTGTTGCTTCTCAGTGCTTTTCTTTGAACGTGTTTGTTAGTCAGTTGTTTGATATCTTTGATGTTTTCTCTATGTCTGCATTTTTAGCACGTGTTCAATAAAACAAGCGTTGTTCCAGTGTGCTTTTTCTTTCTCACATTCTGTAAGCTTTCTGATGAAAACATTTTGTGAATCCCAGGCGCGAGGGCCGTTGATGAAGTGTTTCTTTTAAAACATGACAGTCCTGTGTTTGATTCCACACTCAGTTCATCAGCAACACAACTAAGCTTGTGATACTCGCATCCAGGTCTGACTTCACACCCTCCACATTACACTGTATGAAATAAAGCTGTTTTCACCCTTAAAGCTCAAATGACCTTCAAACACAACAGAAGCATGTTTAATTTCTTCAATGAAATCAAGCTGACCTGTTGTTGACAGATGCCTTCAGAATGACGCTCATGCATTTGAACAGTCCATGATTGATGCACATTCTGACAAGGCACTGTCGAAGGTCGTGATTTTTACCTTCATGTCATCAGTTAGCATGAATATGTGCCTTACTACTCCTGCAGTGGCTTTCCCAGTTTCCTGGGAAACCTTTTTTTCACCTTATTTAAAATCAATTTCTTGTTCAACGGAGGATTGTTCACAAAAAAACGTGGCCATAGACGTTTGTGTTTTGCAACCAGTACCAAGGCATATTTCTAGCCTCATGTTGCTTGGCAATTCTTAAGAAGTGATTCAGATTCTAGGATGCAGCAGCTTTACGGCAACAACCCTGATGTCAAGTGTCCAAAAAACAACCATAAAGTCTTGTGTTTTATAATCCTGTGGGCTGGAGTCTGTAATTGTTTCTTTTAATCCACTTAATCCTTCTCCCCAGTGCAACTGCTAAAAAGAAGATCTTGTCTGTGATACAGATGAAAGGCAGGTCAGAGATCTCCATCAGCATCTGACCTGCCTCTTATTCACTTTTGGGCAGTGTTTGCTGGCGAGCACATTGCTCTTCTCCCTTCCTCTCACTGAGTGAAGCTCTTCTTGATGGCCACATTTGGGAAGAGTCCCGAGATTTCTTGGACGACCCGCATGTCTATCTGGGAGCAGAAGGAGACGTCCAGGAGGAGAAGTTTTGGACAAGCCTGGAGGAGTTTCTTCAGTGAGCCAGCACTCACTAACCGTGTACCTGTCATACGCAGACAAAGTCACAACAGACAAAGTCACAACAGACAAAAGAAAACAATGTAAACAATGTGCTGCAAAGACGCAACATGAGCAGAAAAAGACAGGGAAAAAAAATAAAGAAATATAACGTGAAGTAAATCTCAATAAAAAAGTACAGCTACTGACTAAGCAACAATTATTCTCCCATATGTTGTGTTATTGTGTAGTCAGATTTATGTTAATTACTTGCTGAATGAATTACTCTCCAGCACACAGAGAGACTCAATTCCTGTATCAAACTTGTAAAGCCACAGAACTGCCAGCTTGGTTGATACGCGTTACATTACTAAGGTGCCAAGCCTGACATATTATGCAACTAGAGCTACAGAGTTTGTGGAATGGTGGTACCACACAGCACTGTTGCAACTTTGCCCAGTGAGCGATTCATTTATTTACATCGATACTAGGCAGTTTTATGGGTTATTGCTTAAAGAGCCCATATTCTGCCCTTTTTGGGGTTCGTATATTTAATCTATGTACCTACTAAAGTATGTTCACAATAGCTAAAGTTCTAAAAAAGTGTCTGTTTTCATGTACTGCCGCTCCATGCACCGGCTCGCTTCTGATTCTCTCTCTAAGGCCCGTGCCCACGTTCAGAGTCCCCACGTGTGCCAAGTCTGATCTGATTGGTCGGCCTGTCGGCTGGGCCGTAATTGGTCAGTCGCTCAGCACAGTTCTCGGAAATGTCACGCCCCTTTTACCATATAGGGAATACAGCCCCTTTGGCTACAGAAGTTAATGGGCGTGCAACATGAGCTGTTGGTCTTGCCACAACGAGCCAATGGGCTTAGATCAGTGACCTCACACTGACAAGACGTCACACTGGCAACTTTTTTCGAGGGGGGCTTGAACCGAGCGTTGCATGCAACTAATGCTACAGCTAACAGGAGGATGTAGGAGAAGCTGCGTTTCCGCGGACTTTGAATTTTTGCACATAGATGTGCCTAAACATGCACAGGACACTTGGAAAACACACTAAAGGGCATATAAAACCAGAAAAAGCAGAATATGGGACCTTTAAATGAAGTATATACGATTTTTTGATCCAGCAGATGTCGCCCTTGAGCACCAGCATGAAACCAAAACAACTCGCGGTGCATTGTTGTGTTAGCATGCTAATGCTAGCGATCTTTATTATGCTCGTATCTTCACACTGCATGTAAATTTACCTGAAATGAGCGTGATCTAGAAACACAGTTAAGCAGTGAGTACAGTATGTTATTCTTCTTTTCTCTAGTCCCTCAATTCAACTTTTATACTCGAGGGGAGGAGTCAGCCGCCGTCCTGGCGATGTAAACAAACTGAAGATAGGACTCTGAAAACATCACAGACAGTGGGACTCGGGTGTTACACCCATTGTAGACAGTCATGACTCACAGAGTTATTTTCAGAGGATATACTTGATTTATATTACATTTAAGTGTGAAAAATCACATATTCTTCCTTTAAAGTTTACAATGGAATTGTTTTACAAAATCTAACTTGGAATTGACAGAAATATCCAACTAATGATTTCATTACAAGAATATAAACAGCGCTGTGCTCCCTCGCTGGCTCAGCGGATCCTGTCTCGCCGCTGTAACGGGGGGATCACTTCTATTTCATCATGGCAAAATGCATAATGAGAGGTGTTAGTAGGGTACTAACATGCATCAGCCTGTTGTATCAAAATGTCCTGTACATTTGTAAGGCAAAAAAGGCATCGTCTTAAAGCTTTGATAGTTTTCAACTTTATATGTCTCTATGTAAAAAAAGACAGAAAGGGAACTTACCAAGTATGTCTAGGTGCTGCAGTGATGGACAGTTGGCGGCCAGCTCCTCTATGTCTGAGTCACAGACGGTGCGGTTTGCAGTGAGGAAGAGTTTGCGCAAGCGGGGAAGGCTGCGGGCGAGGTGCTGGAAACATCCAGTGCTGCTCTGCAGAGTGGGACACCAACCCAAGTCCAACTCCTCCAGCATCCTGAGCAAACACAGAGCAGAGACCATGCAAGAGTACTGCGGTGACTGAGACCCAAAATTTGGACATTGACAACAGACGGACTCTGATTTGACTGTGTGGTTACAGGACTAAGGGCCAGATCCACTAAAGGAATGCGCTGTTTTTTCGGGCGCGGGCACAATCCATTCTTAGTGGATCTGTCCCCTAAGTTGTTTAAAGCTCATGTGAGGAGCTTTTATCTGGTTATGAAACAGAATGAAATGTATTCTGATGTTTCTTTACCCTACAAATGCAAACAAGACCATCAGCAAAATGATTGATCATTTCTACAACTTCTGCCGGGGGTCGATGTCAATTGAGGATATTAACATGCTGCAGAAACACTTTTTTAAATATATTTTTCGTTGAAAATATTTACAGTAATTGATGGGTTTGTCCTTTAAAGACAGTAGGATGAGATGTTTTATTATAAAACCCTACTTTGAGGAGTAGATCAGCAAACAGATAAGATAATCAACTTTGTCCACAGGGGGCGCCACAATCATCTCAAACATTGAGTTTCTCACGGGCGCTTTCAGTTTAGTATTCATTTGCATTAAATGCTGTAATCTTAATACATAGGACTAAATAATCAGAGTGTTCCCTTTAAAAACTGTTAACTTTAATGTAACAAAAACATCTCACAAACTGAGAAGCCTTTACTAGCATCTACTTTCTATCTACATTTTGTGGTGAGACATCACATTGTGTTACAGCATGAAGAATTATAAATCTGATGTTTGATAACATACATGTCAAAAAGGGGCGTAAATGATGATGATTGTTAATTTGACTTTGTGAAGGAATATAAAATATCATTACTTTTTATTTTCAGCACTGAACACATTGGTGTGGCCTACCTGCAGCCAGACACAAGCTCAGCCAGGCCTCGGTCGGTCAGGTTTCTGCAGCGCCACAGGTCCACTGAGCAGAGAGAGCGACAGCGAGCGGCCAGCATACTGGCCACAACGTCATAGTCCTCAATCTGTTGTAGAGATATGCAGAAATTAAAATCAAGTTTACACTCTCCAGGCAGAGTTAGCAGGACAGCTGTCTGTTTGAGGCTTTATGGAGGAGGTGCGAGTGGAAACAAAAGCGAGGTAAACGTGGAGGCATAAGAGCTAGACTGGCTAGACTGGCTAAAATACCACACAGGTCCACGCCATCAGTGAGCAACAGACAGCCCACCCAGACAGATTTTTTTATCATCGCTGAGGATTTTAACCATGCAAAGACGGTTTTACCCCACTTCCACCAACACGTGACCTTTCCCACAAGAGAAGGTAACATTCTGGACATGATTTACACATCAGTTAAAGGTGCTTACAAAGCTTCACCCCTCCCCCACATCGGCCACTCTGACCATATCAGTGTAATGCTAATGCCAGTTTACAGACCCAGGGTTAAAGTCACCAAACCAGTTCTGAAGCAGGTATGTGTGTGGCCAGAGGGGGGCCTCTGCTGCACTACAAGACTGCTTTGATCCCACAGACTGGGAGATGTTTAAGCAGGCAGCCACCTACAACAACCACACAGACATTGAGGAGTATTCTGACACTGTTACCTCCTACATTAGCAAATGCATTGCTGATGTCACCACCACCAGAACCATCACCACCCGGGCTAACCAGAAGCCATGGCTGACAGGAGAGGTACGCAGGCTTCTGAGAGCCAGGAACACCGCCTTCAGAGCTGGGGACACAGCCTGCCTGAGAACAGTGAGGGCCAACCTGTCCCGTGGCATCAGGAAAGCCAAACGCAGCTACACACTAAAAATAACCGGACACTTCAAGGACAGCAGAGACGCGCGGAGCCTGTGGCGTGGTATCCAGACCATCACGGACTACAAACCCAAGCCACAGACCTGTGACAGCAACACCTCTCTGCTGAATGATCTCAACAGCTTCTTTGCCAGGTTTGAAGAACACAACAGCACGCCCCCACAGAAGACCACCCCCCCTCCCCACGACCAGACCCTGTGCCTGACTGCAGCCAGCATGAAGAGAACCTTCTCCAAGATCACCACCCGCAAGGCTGCAGGTCCAGACAACATTCCTGGCCGTGTGCTGAAGGACTGTGCAGAAGAGCTCAAAGATGTCTTCACAGACATTTTCAACGCTTCTCTACGCTTGTTCCGTCGTGCTTCAAAGCCACCACCATCATACCCGTTCTATAGAAGCCCTCACCATCCACTTTCAATGACTATCGACCCATTGCACTGACCCCCATCGCCATGAAGTGCTTTGAAAGGTTAGTCATGGCCCACATCAAATCCACCCTTCCCGCCACCCTGGACCCCTACCAGTTTGCATACCGAGGTAACAGATCAACCGAGGATGCCATCTGTTCTGCTCTTCACCCATCCCTCACCCACCTGGACACCAAAAACTCATACGTCAGAATGCTGTTCATAGACTTCAGTTCAGCATTCAACACCATCATCCCTCAGCAGCTGATCGGCAAACTGGACCAGCTGGGGCTCAGCACTTCCCTGTGCAACTGGCTGCTGGACTTCCTCAGCGAGAGGCCTCAGACAGTGCGGGTCGGCGGCAATACATAAAAAACCACCGTCATGAGCATTGGGGCCCCCCAAGGTTGTGTGCTCAGCCCCCTGCTCTTCACGCCGCTGACCCACGACTGCGCTCCATCCTTCAGCAGCAACCACATTGTGAAGTTCGCGGACGACACAACAGTGGTTGGTCTCATCTCCAACAACGATGAGACGCACTACAGGATGGAGGTCAGCCAACTGGCCACGTGGTGCAGAGACAACAACCTCTTCCTGAACGTCGACAAGACCAAGGAGGTTGTTGTCGACTTCAGAGAGTCCCCACTCCTAAACCCCCACTGACCATCGACGGTGCTGCTGTGGAGAGAGTGAGCAGCACCAAGTTCCTGGGGGTTCACATCAGAGAGGATCTCTCCTGGACAACCAACACCACATCACTGGCCAAGAAGTCCCAGCAGCGCCTCTACTTCCTCCACAAGCTGAAGAGAGCACGAGCCCCCCAATCCATCATGTGCTTCTTCTACAGAGGCACCATCGAGAGCATCCTGACTAGCTGCATCACTGTGTGGCTTGGGAGCTGCACTGCTGCCAACCGCAAGACCCTGCAGCGCACAGTGAAGGCACAGTGAATGGATTATCGGTGTCCCACTCCCCTCTCTTCTGGACCTCTACGGTACCCGCCTCACCCGCAAAGCAACCAGCATTGTGCGTGACCCCACCCACCCCTCACACAGCCTCTTCAGCATCCTGCCATCGGGGAGACGGTACCGCAGCCTGCGGGCTGGCTCCACCAGACTGGGAAACAGCTTCTTCCACCAAGCTGTCAGGAAGCTTAACTCTCTCCCCTCTCTTCCTTCCCTCCCCTCTGCCCCCCACGAACACTGGACGTTGAAACCCCCTCCCGTTTGCCACCAAGAACTCTGGACTAATAACTCTGAAGCTAACTATTCAAAAGTACACTCAGTTTACTGCACATTGCACATATTGCACAAGTTTACTTTTTCTTTAAATTTTATTTTATTTACCATTTTGTACCTTTTGCACAATTTAGAATTTATTACTGTAAATATTATTTATCTTACTTTTACCTCATTTTATTTTACTTATTTTACCTTATTTTACCTTATTTTGGTTGTATTGCACCATGGGACGGAGACAAACGCAATTTTGATTCCACTGTATGTCTGGCATATTTTGGAATTGACAATAAAGTTGACTTTGACTTTGAGGACCTTTGGAGGTCCACATCAGTTTGAAGTTGAAACCTGAAACTATGCACTCTACAGCGGCTTCCTCAAATGTTGAGTTTCAGATGGAGGATACGCATTTCTATTGTTGTTCATGTCTGTGTATGTCATGAATGACATCATCAAGGTTCAGGGATTTTGTGTTTATTTGTTCAGCAAGCAAATAAAATAAAATTATTTTCCTCTGAGCATGTCATACGTTCAAAGGATTCAATCAATTGCCTTTAGGGAGAGAAACAGGGCTGAACAAATTAAGTAAGAAGTGAGTCCATAGCCATTTCCCTCATATTGTACTGTGCATTTTGAGCAAACTTTGGGAAAGCAGTGATAACAAAAAGGTGATAAGCTGTATCTACTGGTTTGAGGGACATAACCTGACTACCCTGAGAGGGAACAAAGCACTAAGAGAAAACACTTTCACCAGAAAATAAATGAAATGGTCTTTCAAGAACTGATTTGTTTTTGCAAAGCTGTTATTGTTCTTTGGTGTCAGGTAATGTTGGTCATATTTCATCCTTTCATCCAAAGATGAAAGCAAAGAAATGCAATTTAACAGCCAATGCAGGCACCTTCCTCCTAGAATCACGGCATGTAGAAGGTTTCTCTGAGCACGCAGGGGATCATATTAAAACTTTTGTCTGAAACAGTTGCTGTAGTTGTGTATTTCCATTGTTGCATTACCCATGACCCGTGAATACCATAAGAGCTGAAATACAAACTGTGCGTACATCTTCTTCTGTTAAACTTAAGGCCACATTAACAAGTTGATGCTATGCTTGACGTAGCATAGAGACTGGAGTGAGCTAGACTTACTATGTATTACAGTGACACAAACAACAAACCCAGCTCTCTTTTTAAATCTGCGTAAGCACTTATATTTAAAAACAACAATTGACTGTGTTGACTGCAGTTTTTTTAATGGGATAAACAAAAGAACAAAATATGACATGTTAATCATTTTCCTTTTCAAATGATGGTAGGATGTTTTCTGATTGTATTTGCCTTTTACAAAGCAAAGCTAGCTGTTTCCAGATTCCAGTTCTTATTTGACGCTAAGCTCGCCATCTAGGAACTTGATAAAATGTGCTTGTTATTATTCTTATGGTCTTACTTCCCCCTAAAAAAACGAAAAAGGTGTTAAATTAAAAACATATTTCCATTAATGTCAAACTAATTCTTCTACGATATGTTAATATCTATGGCAGAAATTTGCTTTCTGAGGGCAAATCAGATTCATTACTTCCAACATTAGGCAACTTCCAACATAAAGTCCTGGTTTGTGTGCTTTCTTCACTGAGGTTTTTGCTGTGTTGTGAGGTGAGGCTGAAGACACATTTTGTGCCAAGGAAGGAAATAAAGTATTCACTTAAATGGTGTGCAGTGCCAATATCACAGGCCTAGTCTATTTTACACCCCACCAGTTTATTGTTAGCAGCTCAATTAGTGCTACACTACTGATGTCTCGCCATCTTTCAGACAAGCTGCTATTCAACAAACACACATGGAGGATTGTGCAGTTAGCAGACTGTGCTTTATTTGGACTCCTTTCCGAGTCTTTCTTTCTGTTTATGTGTGTAAGTGCATGTGTGTGTGTGTGTGTGTGTGTGTGTGTGTGTGTGTGTTTTCTCACCCTCACACAGCTCCCTAGGTTGAGATGTCTCAGCTCTATGCAGAAAGTCAGGATACTCAGAATAGCTGTTTGCTGCAGAGAAAAAAAGGAAGATGCAGAGTTGTCATACCCATATCATATCTCTTTTAAAACCGTATCCATTTCAATTTGGCACACTGATCAAGCAACAGCTTGAAAATCAGGAAACAACAACACACACGCAGAAATAACTAGAGCCACATGTTCAATAACAAGACATTTAACCTGAGTCTATATTTAAGATACAATAACAATATATCTCTAAATAAGAGAAACAGGACCAATTAAAGTAAAGTCAAGTGATCTACTGCCTGCTGCCTAGGACACTCACTTAACACTTGGTGTATTTAAGAGAATTTAATAAAGCCCAGCAGTCCCTTCACACACAGTGAGGACACAGATCTCTCTAGTGGCACTGCAGCTTGGATGGAGATATGGGAATTCAACACTAGAACTGCCAACACGTGTACCACAGTGGCAGGAGAAAGTGTGAGACATGAAAGTGAAAGCCTTTTGTGCGTGTGCGGCTGGTGTGTGCGCTTGAGTCTGTTGCTGGCATCTCTATAAACGCCTCTCTCGGGCGAGCTAGCCATTTAATTAGAGCAGTGACAGGGTAATGACAGCTGAGATGTTGGGGCCTCAAACAGACACACAGCTCGCTCTGTGTGCCGGGGTATAAACAACCTGCAGCACGCTGCCTGGCTCCACCGCAGAAACACTACCCTGCCTCCTGCCCACAATGCTACTCAGAAAACATGGCAAACATTGAAAAAACACAGAGAAGCATAAAACCAAAACACTAGACAGTGGTAATACACGTCAGACAGGCCTGAACTTGCACTTGCAGTATGATATTTAGGGGCCCCTGGGTTTAGAGTTGACTCAGGTCATCTTAAAAGACAACAACAGAGAATGAACTACACCCAAATAAAACACCTACCTTCAAATGAAAAAAGCTTGCAAGCTCATAACTCTGATACTAATGAGAGGTTCCTGAAAGTTTGATTACATTGATGTTCTTCATTTAATGTCTTAATAATGACGGCATTATGGATGGAACAAACTTCAGGCAGTGATTAATCCTTTATTCCCAAGATGGGGGTTTGACCCTCACATGGGGTCACACTCACATGACTCACAAGTCTTTTGCAAAATAAAGTCCTTCAGAGAGGCTCCTAGAAAGGCAGAATGACACTATATACCAAAGGAACATCACTATTTGTTAAATTACACAAAGCTCAGACAATTACTGTATGTAACCTGTGACATTGCTTTTAAGTAATAACATAATAATAATAACATTCCTAAAAAACACATCAACCTAAAAAGCCTGACAGGTTCAGATGAGACCAAGTTAATTGTATTGTATTGCGGACATAAAGTAGTTTCTTTGTATGTAGGAAATCATGCGTGCTAGCTGGCAGAATCTGCCATGTATGTATGTAGATTTCAAACAGTCACAGAATAAGATGTAATCATCTCTTCCACTAACACTAGATTTCTTTGTTATGCAGAACATCTGCAAGCATGAGAGAAACTGATTACAACTGCAGCAAAACAAATTTGGTAATAGGCACTGTGCTGCATTGTGAAGGCAAAAAAAATGAAGCGGCAGGGAAAGAGAACTGAAATGGCTTTGTGCTGCAAAGCGAAGATGGTCATGTTATATACACACAGACATATTTGACTTGCAAGCATTGTTGGGTCTTTTCAAAGTTAAGCAGCTTCCATCTTAGTTCTGACAGATGATTGAGTTAAAACCATTTGTGTAAAGTGTTGTGAACTGATTGAGCAGAGAAGTGGTTTGTGCTAAGTATTAGATTCAAACTTTAACTGAGATAAATCCAATGTGTTTGAAATGTTTTAAACATATAACTCAGTCGTACTGACTGCTAAATATCAGAAGACGTGAAGATGTGCTACATTGTTGAGAATAATGAAAAAATTAAACAGCAATGTCAGCTGAGCAAACTGCATCCAAACATTCTGCTGTATCACAGTCAACTTTATTTAGTCATGACACATGTTGGATCACTGGTAGAAATGTCTCTTGCAATATGCTTTCCCCAGAGCCACAGTTGCCTGTGCTGCCTACCTCTATCTTGGTCCTGTAGAGCACCAGTCTTCGGAGGCGTGTGAGTTTTGAGATGTGTGTGAAGGCTTGTGGGTTGAGGCGGTCGCAGGAGGAAAGGTTGAGCTCCTGAAGCCCAGGACAAGTCTGCGAGATGACCTCCAGACACGCCTCATTCAGGAAGTGGCAACATGACAGCTCCAGGCAGACCAGGCTGAGACCACAGGCCTTCATGAAGCTGAGGGTAGAATACATTCAGAGAGCATGACATGAGCTGAGTGCAGAAGAATAAAAATCACAGCAACTAGCCTGGCTGTCCTTTATTTGCATATTAAGGCTAACATATTTTATTTAGCTTAATTAAAGAACAAAATAAATATCCATTTTATTTGTCTCTGTGTGTGTACCTCCCTCAAAACTAGTAATTGTACTTTTAAACACTTATTAGTTTTCAAGGTCATCTTCCTGTTGTCTAATACTGTACTTGTTGCCTCCTGACAGACTGACCTGCTGAAGCCAGTCAGGGTTAGAGCTCCGCGGTTGCCGGTCCAGGACAGGTTGAGTCTCTGGAGGAGGGTGCAGCGACTCTGCAGGTGTCCCAGGGAGGCGTCACTCAGCCGGCCCCAGTAGGGCTGCAGACTCAGCTGGGTGTACTGCAGCGGGTCGCAGCAGTGCTGGTGCAGCAGCTTACAGCTCTGGGCCAGACGGCAGAGGTCTGGCAGGGTCAGGTGGCTCAGTATCAGCTGGATGAGCTATGGATGGAAGATGGGGAGAGGGGTGAGGAGAGGAGAGGAGAAAAGAAGGAGAAAAAAACATAAGGCTAATACATCTGGTAGGGCATCACACAAAGTGAAGCATATAACAGAGCATTAAAGAGTAGAAGAACCTAGAAACAAAACACACAGTATAGCAGAGAATGTTAATTGTGTCCCTTCTGTCAGGCAGATCTTAAAAGTGTTCTCCTGGACACAAAGCACTGATAGCAGGATCAGCAATGAGGTGAGCCGTTTTGTTTTGCACTGTGTTCTTTTGCCTCTCAAAGAGAAACAATGACTGTGCTCGTTTGTGTATTGCAGTGAATTAACAATACATGGGGTTTAAGCTGGTATCAGCTGACAGATAATAGCTATATTGTGTTTCTGAAACAAGCACACAGCGGTTGTGAAGACTGCTGTTAATGGCAGCGGTTTGGAGAGGAGATAAGAGAACGACTATCAAGAGCAGTGCTGGTGTTTTGAAGCTCGTCTCAGACGACGCGATACATCAGTATGGCACGAAAATGACTCCGAGTCGGTGAGTACAGACATGATCAAGTGTCACACTGGGTCTATGCCACGATGTTCATGTGTTTGTGTGGAAAACTTGTAAGCACAGCACACATGCACATTGAGGGGCCCATGCAACAATTTAAGGCCCGGCTTCAAGACGATTAATTATGAATAAAGACCTTTTTTTTTTAGAACATTTATAATCTTCTCACAACGAACTTTAAAAATGTAAATCACTGACTGAGGGGTTGTGTAGTTCACATGTACATCAGTACATTCTTAATGCAACTAAAAGTGTTTCCTGCAATTACACTGAAATATCCTCTTTTTATGCTTCAATCCAAAGTGCACCCAGACACCTGCTTTAAGATAAACTGTCACGTTCTTATTTTGCCATCTAGTCGCACCATACAGCACTGTTTCTTTGAGTGGGCACTGTACGTATGTGTAATGCATGCAGGTGACAAGATAAGACCGCAGTGCAAATGGCTTAAGAAGATCTTTTCATTTGTCTATAAATTGCTTGAATGCATTAAGAAAATGTTTACATGTTGGGGCGCAGATGGTTTAGCGGTTAGATCGAAGCCCATGTATGGACACTATATTCCTCCAAGCTGGTGGCATGAGTTCAAGTCCGACCTGTGGCTCCTTTCCCAAATGTCATTCCCTAAAATCTCTCTCTCTCTGATTCCCTACTCTATCCACTATCCTATCAAATAAAAGGCATAAAAGCACAAAGAAGACAAAAAAGAATATTTGCCATGCACTAAGACATAAAGAAGACTGCAAGCTCATAAACATAGATTCAAACTATTTTGGATTTAAAATACTTCAAACAATCAGCATGAATATTAATTATGAAGAAGAAAAAGCACATTTTGTTAGAGCTCAAAGACAAACAGTTGAGCTTTGGTGAGTAGTACATAAACATAACTTTTGTTTGTTTGCTAATAGTGTAGCTGCAAGAAGGTATCCCTCATTATTTGTCAAAATACAGCAAAATAATCACTTGAGGAACACCTAAAGCCAATATTTACAAAAAAATATATATTTATATCCCTTTCAAGAGCTACAGAATTACTTCTGAAGATAAAACATTGAATTTTGTTGATGTCCTCTGGTGTATCTACTCTTTCATCTGAGTAGCTTGAGGTACACTTCTTTAAGATCTGTAATCACCTCGTATGGCAGTTTGTCAAAGTATCCATTCCCTGTCCTCTGATGCTTGCCATCTCCTTGTCTGAATGGCCCTCCTACATCAGACAGCTCCTCCTCGCTGTCACTCAGGTCACTAATGTCGATGACAGGCATCTTATAGAGGGCCAGCATGGGCCTCTCTTTCACCCCCCGCAGGATAACAGCATCCAGCTCAGTGTAATAGTCCAGCAGGGAACTGTTGACCTCCAGGCGCAGCAGGTTGGTGGGGAAGTTAATGTGCTTGATGTTAGGGGCAAACTGGCGAGCCTGGGGTGTCAGCACCTTGGTGGGCTCCCCTGACCATAACACCTCCCACCTAGACAACAGAAAGTGAATTCAAGAGTTGTTCTGTAAAGCCTCACCAAATGAGACATGTGCATACTGTTCATTAAAAGTTTATTCATGAATAACACTCAAGAGAGATACAACATCCTGTTTGGTGTGATCCTGTAGAAAAAAGAAAAAACAGCCTGGCTCTTTCACAACTTCAGATTGTTGGTGTGCCAAAAACCACCTTGACTCATGAGGGATGGTTATTAGTCAGTGTTGAACTATTGAAGCTCCCTCCTGATGTCTCCACCTCTTACTTTTGAGTACACACAGTATGATTTCAAATAGGATTCTAATAGCTTATTTTTTTTTACATTTTTTTAAATCCATACACTTTTGGTGCTTTTAAGGAGGCATAGAGGTTTAATGATGGAATCTATTGAAGACTGTGCTGACCCCAGGCCAGCCAATCATGTATGACAAGAAATAACTGTAGGATAATGGTCTGGTTATTATCAAACTTACATGCAGTTATGAAACTGGGAAAAAGTAGAAGCAATATTTAAATGTACAGGTACTTTTTTCTGGAAGTGGAAGTCAGCATAATTATGCTACTTTTGAACTTTTGAATGTTTTGAACTATTCAAATAAAAAAAAAAGACTTTAACTGAGAAATATGGCCTCAAAAACCTGATCTGTTAATGTCTATAATTCAAAGAAGAGTGCTCACTGAATTATAATACCCTTCATGTTCTGTAAGCCAGGAGTGACCAGTTACAAAAGTTTCAACATTTCTATATGCACTAATACCGAAATACTTTTAACACCAAGTATCACAAAAAGTCCCTTTTTAAAAATGATAATTATGGGTCCTGTTGTGGCGCAATACTGACCTGCTTACAGTTTTTATTTATATTATGATCACTAAAATGTTGAATACTCACACAAGCTTACATTTGCATTGTTTGAAAGAAACTTGAGCACCACTGTGCTGGACCTTTGAAAATTGAAACAATGATCCCTAAGCACTCATACACAATACAGAGCTGTTCTATTGATGTGTTTTCAAAACAAATATAAAAAAAGAAAGGCAATTTAAGAAGATGTCAGGCATCATTCTGCAATTGCATAATAAAACCAGTAACAAACAAAGTGTTTCAATTTATGGCTGTAATATCGTGCAGCTTTTTAAAAAACTAGAGAAAAGTTATTGTTTTTTTACCTGACATCAGTGGGTGGGTTCTGGGAGAAGGGGTTGTGAGAGCAGGCTAGGATCTGGACAATGGCTCCAGGGTAATAAGTCTCAAGCACCTCCACTGCTGTTGGGTAGACTGGCTCTTCGAAGCCCAGCTCAATGTAGTCCAGGCTGTAAAAGCCTTTAGGGGTACGTCTGAAAGGTGGTGGGGCACTGGCACACTGTTCCCACCACTTCCCATAAGCCCTGAATACAGCCGTCTGAGTGAAGTCCCCGGAGCTGGGGTAGACATTTGGTACCCCAGCCAGGTTCCACATGGTGTAGGACATGCTATTCTCACTGCCATAGTGGGAGCTGAAGTCAAGAACCTCCTTAGCATATTGCTCCACCTCAACACTGACCGGCAACACAGCACGTTGGCCGGACTCCACAGCGCGCCGACTGGTCAGAGCCTCACCTCGAGTCCCACTCCTGGAGCGCCGCCGCAGACAGATATAGTAAAACATGCTCAAGAGAGTTAGCATAGGGAATTCTTGGGTGGATGAGGTCAGTGGGGAGAAACAGAGGCTAAAAGGAGGAAGAGCCTCCACCTACTGGAAACACACTGGCTCAGGAGCTCGGGGTGTACAAAGCACAGGCTAGAGGCCCGGCTGCATGCATGACCTGTAGGTTAGGCAGAGACAGACACAAACAAGAGTGAGAACAGCAAGACAGCAGATGTGAGACACCACAGAGTTATACTCCTGTTAGGTACTGAACTAGAATAATTCAATGGTAAAAACAACAAAACAAACTACAGCCTCAACAGCTTAGGTACTGAAAGTATTGTAAGTCCATTATTATGCTGTTTGTGTTGGCTCATTAAAAAGTACAGTCAGATCAACATCAACTAAAGAAAACGCAGTTAAAGGTGTGGGTCCAACACACCTGCACACACTTCACCCAAGTCAAATCCCTTGTATGTGTAAGCAAACCTGCACAAAATAAAGCTGATTCTATCAGTTATCTACACTACAAAACAAATAAACAAATAAACAAACATGTATGTAACATAAGCTCTAATGTCTAGCTCGTCGGTAATAAGTTCGTTATATCGACTGGACAAATGCCATCGTGTTACGAGTCTGTCAAGACAGACAAGTTGGTCTGGTCACACATTCTGTCTCTAAATGGACGTCATCGATAAATTCACATGAATAAGTTAAGCTAGCAGTCACAAATAAACTGTTGCTATATAAAGACATTTCTTACTGTTCCTCTTTCTCATTTCACTGAAATGATTATAAGTCACCTGTCGTAGCTAACATGAACTAGAAATGCCAGCTGCTTCTGCCACCTTGAATGTTGTTGTTGTTATTGTTGTTGTTGTTGTTGTTGTTGTGACCATAAGGGTTAAATAGCGGCTGTTAGTTAGCTAGCGATAGCTAGCTAGCATATAGACAAGCCGAGCTCTCAAAACAAAACTGTTAGCTTCCGTAGCTAGCTTTGCAAAATCGAGCAAACAAACAGGACGGGACACCACTTAGATTTACAGTAAACGTAGATCGATGTATCCATTCATGTGTAACACTCCTCTTGTTTCCTTGACGATAACGTCGTGTCAACCACCACACCACATTCCTGACGTGTTACCTTGTGATGCCTCCCAGGACAGTTGGATAATGCACTTCCTCATCGAGTGCAGTTTGCAATCAATCACATAATCAGGTCAATAATACTGTAAATACCGTAGCATTTGTAGGTATCACAGATTTGAGAAGTTATGTTAAGAAAATTAGCTTATCCTTGCCAAGGTCTTGCCGGGAATTGAAAATAAATTAAACGTTTTTTCTAAATATTAGGCTATATAGCCTACATTTAAATTTTTATCATTTTTTTTATTTCACTATTGCTGTCCCAATAAGTTTAATTACACCGTTTTTAAGTGACGACATAATTAAAAACTCAATAGCCCATTTAGACCCTCTTTTTTTTACGTCGCTTGAATTTAGACGGAAGGTCATTAAATGCGACATTACTTCCGGACATCAAAATATCAACATCCGGTAAACGTCATACTGTAATTGTTTTGACTTTACCGTTTTCAAAAGTTGTTGTTACTATCGGAGATCAGAGATTAAGAAATCTGAGAGGAGCCCACATAGCTGATACACTCTGTTCTTTATGAATATGTGCAAAGTGAGTTCTACAGACTAAGTTAGCTGAAATATTAAGTCCTCCACAGTTTGTTTTTAGGCAAACCCGGGATAAACCCAAATCAGAACATCTTAAATCCACCAGAGCCAGTTAAAGGTGAGGGAGCTAGAGTGCCAGGCTCAGACAGTGTCTGTATTTTACTGAATATAACATTCCTGTTGATATCTGAATAACACTCTTGATTCCAGTTTTTATTTATTATTGCCATCTTACTTTCCAGATAAAAAAAGAACACAGTTATCCTGCCTTGCAAGGGTTATTAGAGGAAAGATTAAAACAATATGGGGTGATTTGGTTGCATTGATGCATTGCAAAATAAAATTGTAACTGTTACAACCAGAGGACACTGGTCTGGGCTGTTACAATCATACATGTATTAAATGTATTTCTCAGATATGAAATATCCATAACCAAAATCTAAGTGTATTGTGTTCTTAATTACTTTCCCCAGGAAATAAAGTACTTGAGGACAGCAATTGATCAAAAATGTATGCATAGATTACATTTTAGCTTGGGGAATGTGATGGATTGCAAATACACGTAATTTACACAGTGAGAACAGCACACTTGTTCTAATATTGAAGTTTACTGATATGGCTGCTGCTTTTTTTATTCTTCTTCATTGTCAGTTAATAAATGTACGTTAAAAAGAGAATTTATCTGACTGAGCAACAATGGATTAACCCAAAGACATTTAGCCAAATGTCAATTAAGAGCAAAAACAAAAGGTTTTCACATTTGAGATGCTAAAACAGCATTATTATAATCTGACACAATTTATTTATAGAATATTAAAAGAAATATGTTTCATACCAAAAAGACATTACAACTATATTTTTCTTTTGCATCAAAAAAAGAACGTATCTTGTTTTGGTGATGCCACTTTATTTTTAACAAAGAGATTAAAATGCAGATACAGGTGATCAATAAATCATGCTTATGTTACGATGCTGTTATTAGTGGTGCATTACATCATTTTCACAGATATTAGGAAAGAAGGATTGTTTTAGAGCTAGCCGTTCTAGTGAAGTGAAGCCTACTCTACAGAAGAGAATCTTCAAACTTTTTATCCACTTCTGACAAAGGTGTAGTGTTCTACATTTATGATTTCCAGCTGTCATTCAAGCATGTGTGTGTCACATGGCAACATCTGAAATCTGATTGGCCACCCCAGAATCCAAATCTATGATTGGCTATTTGCCTATTCAGACACTACTTAACTTCAAATAACCTAATCTGGATCAAACAGTCTGCTGGAAGTTTTCTTTGTGTTAATATTGTAAAAAGGTTTTTGTACTTTTTGTTGTAAATACATTCTTTAAATACTTTGCTCTTTTCTTTAAAAAAATCCAAGCAAAAACTTGCAAACTGTCTAACTTGAAATGGACTTGCAAATAAATGTATTTTTTCAAGTTGGAAAGTGCACAAGAGTTTGAATTTTACTAATTTTCTACTTTACATTTTGATTTTGCACATACATCTTTGTTTTTGAGTCCCTATAGAATCAAGCTAAGCAGATTTATATTTTGCCAAATTGTGTTACTAACAAGTACATACTGTATCATTAGTGAGATAGAAGGGGTGGAAAAATGAAATTAATTCGCGTGTGTGCCCACAAACTTTATGCCACCCTTCAGTAAGTCAGTGCCTCGGGTGGGCCACCCCAATCTAATAAAGTCTGCACAACCCTGCTGATAATAAAGAGCAAAAATGTTTTTTGTGTATGACGGCGGTTGCATTTGGGCTGGTATTTGCATAGAAGAATGTCTTTTCCGGTCATTCTGTCTCTGGGGTGCTCTGTTGGCAATATTGTCAAAATTAGAAAAGCCCAATGTCTCCACCCTGAAGGCAACCAGGTCCAGTCCATCCCTCATTACCCATTATCCACTGTGGGTTACAAGGGGAGATAATTATCTTTGACTACAGGGGCTCCTGCTCGCTTTCTCCCAATTTGAACAAATCTGTGCCTATCAGAGAGAGTGTGAACAACTTTAGAGGTAAAATTCAAAACCTGGTTAAATTTGCCTCTTACATGTGTCTGTCATTTGACTTGCATGATTCTTTGATTTTAATACCATATAGATCCTCAATATCTTCCACAATACTACTCTACTTTGACCTCAGCACATTAAATCAACTGCTTGGACCTTGTTTTTACTCAGAAAGATCAACTCTCAAACTTGCGTCTCCTCTTTCACTTTTTCATCACTTTGTCTTGATTGATCTCAGCCTGAAACAGACCCATGCAGCTAAGACTGTAACACATCAGTGCAAAGGATGCAGCCCCCAAATCGCACTGACACACACACGCACACGCACACACACAAAAGACACAAAGAGTGTGTAAACAGTACCCAGCTAGATTTAGAGCTAACAAGATAGGATGATGTGAATAGAGGGCTAGTGGGCATGCTCAGTGATTGACAGGCCGGGCCGCTGTCAGCTCCTCCAGGCAGGCATCAGCGAGCAGCAGTCCTGCTACTGTCAGAGCTCTGTTCTGGTCCACTGTGCCACACATACATATGCACATAGCCGAGCACACACAAATGCAAATGGGGATGGACACACACATAAGCCCTTGCATGGATACATGTGTATGCACACACACACACACACACACACACACACACACACACACACACACACACACACACACACACACTCTTTTTCCTTGTCACTCACACATACACCCATGCACTCACACACTTCTTGTCCCTCAGCTATGCCCCAGCTGTCAGAAGCCAGTTAAATAATGAGTGTGCTGCTCTCCTTCCCTTTTGCATAGAGGCTGAGGATCTGGTTATTGCTTGTAGAAAACAGAATATTTTCACTGTTTTCCCAGCTGCAGCCTGGTCATCACACGTGGGGAAACATCTCATGAGGCTCTGAGAAAATTCACGCCTGCCCATCTTGGTTTAGATTGAGGCAGTGATAGGCAGCTTTGCACTGTAGCTAACCTCTTACTTCAATGCTCTTACTTCAATGGGGGGGGGTTAAGAAGCAATGCATCATATGTATTGTCCTAGTTTATGCTGTGCGACTTCGCCCAGAACGAGCAGATGTAGAAGCCTGTGATTTATAAAGGGCTCTTCATGAGAGTATAATTTACCTCACACAGGTCTGTGGTCAGTGCCATTATAAACATGACTTCCAGGTGGCAGGACATTTATTATTCACACACATTTAAATAAATTTGACTGTCCAATATGTTTTATGCATTTTGGCAAGGCAGCAGTGCTAAACGTGTATGGACAGCGAAAGTGTGAAGTACCTGCAGCTGAGAGGGTTGCATATGATTGACAAAAGAGAGTGGATTGGATACAGCAGTTACTCTCAGGTGGAGATATACTTTTCTCGTAAACCAGTCGGCAGAGATGATAGGGTTAAGTGCAAAATTCAAAATTGTAAGAGTGAATGCAAAAATCATAGAAATATAGACATATGCTTCCCTTTTTTCGTAAATGTTTACCAGATGTCAAACTCAATAGAGATAATGCATGGTTAGGTTTTTTATAAATGGGTAGGTGTGACCTGCAGTGCATACACTTTGAGTAGTCAGAAGACCAGTAAAATGTTGTTTGGATGCAGGTATCTGGTGATCTATTACTTTAAATTCTTAATGTATCTTATTCTATGAACCCACTCTTGACTTAAAGCACTTCTGTTTAGCAGTTAGGAGAGGTATGTTACCATTCAATGAAATTAGTGGCATAGTTTTGATCATAAATGAGAACATTTTAAAGTACTAAGTGATGCATTGATCTTTCATTTGTGACTCCGCCTCTACTACTTGATATGAGAATTTTCCAATGGGCATTTATAGCCCAGGGTTCATCATATTTTCAGTATTGATAAAACACTTTTCAATCACCATGAACACAAAGCTAAATCAATTTACTTATGCAGTAAATAAATTGTGTCTCAAGCACCGGGATGAATCTTGTAAGTGGACATTGAATTAAATAACACAGAGTTCATGTTTTGAACTCGTGTCAGTACTTGTGAATGATTTGAGAATATGTTGAATTGTTTGTTATTGAAATAACGACTGCTGCAGAATGTTGAATAATATGTTTTACGAGCTATTTTCTCCATGATACTTCACTCACTTTGAATTTCACAAACTTTAGTATGTCATATGTTTCACATAACTTAACTACCATTTCAGATCACAAAGCATTTGAGTCTCCACTCAGGTCTGACCTCCCATGCAATCTCTGCCATCTGACTGTGCTTCCCGATGCTGATCAAGCCTATTAAGAGAACGTTTTGGGTACATCCGACTGATTGTGAAACTTCTCAGCCTTTTTAGTCTTAATGACAGAATCTGCAAATATAATTACTGCTGCAAGAAAACCAAGCCAGAGATAGCGGAGAGAAGCTGTCATCTGCCTTTGTTTTCCAGTCCGTGTCCTCCAACTGAACTTCACCGACCGACAGTTTAATTGGTTTCAGGGAATCG